CATATGCTAGTTCACCACAGGAAGCTTGGCTTATCAGTGAGCTCCAACTCCACAGACCAAGGTCATTTCTAGCAGTCTATATATACATATATATGTATATGTATATGTATATGTATAGGGGTGTGTGTGTGTGTATATTTTTTTTTAAACAAAATACAATTTAACAAAGCCATTTGGATGGCAAGTTCACGTGTTCCTAATTTGATGCCACAACACACAAACTAACAGCCACCCCAGGACCTCAGAAGTTCTCTTAAGAACAAACCAAACCTTACCGCCAACCTCTGGTCTCCACTGAAGTAAGAATATTGGACCACTAAAATTGGACAATCCTTGAATTCTGGTGTCAGAAGGGACCCTTAGGAAGCAGCTGGTTCTTAATCTAGGGTCCATGAACTTGCTTTTTATGCTTTTATAACTGTTCCGGCATAATCAGTTTTCCTGAGAACATAAGTAGGCCATAAGTTCCTTGAGAGCAGGGATAGCTTCATTTTTATCTGTATCTCAAATGCCTAACATAGTACCTAGCACACAGGAGGCACTCACTGAATACCTATTTAACTGAACTGAGGTGATAAAACAGAGTTGTGCTGAAACAACACTGAAAGTTTGTATGGAACCCAAAACAATGTAATGTTCAAAGAAGGGAATAATCCCTGAGGTTTACCTAAGAAGGCTGAGGTAGGCAGAGCAGAAAGGGAAGGGAACTCTGGGAAGAAATACACAGTACACATTTGAAGAGTTAAAAAAAAAACCCAGTCTACCTGGAAAACAAAAGCTTGACGTTGGGAAATAATAATAGGAGGTAGATTTAGGGCCAGACTGAGGAAGGCCTCGAATGCCTGTTTAGACTTTGCTTCTCCTTCCCAGGAACCGTTTCACCATCTGCAAAACTGTATTGGATTAAATGATGAATGTCCTCAAGGTTCCTCTATGAAGCCCTCCCTGATATCCCCAGACAGAAGTAAGCCCTCAGGTGTTTAGGCCTCTTCTATATTTTAATTTGCATTATAATTGCTCGTATATGCATGTTTTGTGTTCACAATTAGATTGTAAGCTCCTTGAGGGTAGGTCCCATGCTTCATGGCATCTTTGAAGCCGCTTGATATTTATGAAACTGAGTTCAAGTCCCCTTTGTAGCTCTTAAGAGTCTACAGCCTGTGCAATGGTAACCCTCCCAAAGTTTCTAAACGAGGAGTGTTGTCATTCAAGCTGAATTTGAGGAAGACATATCTAATCGAATGCAGAAGGCTAATTAGGATTTGGAGGACATCTAGCTCAACCCCTTTATTTTAGAAATGAAGAAACTGAGGCCCAAAGAGGGTCAGTGACTCACCCAAGATCATGACAATGTCAAGATTCAAATCCAGATCTTTTGACTACAGGTCCAGCACTTTTCCCACATTGTTAGAAAGCTCCTGCAAAATGAGGTCTGATAAGGGACTGAACCAAGTCGAATGGCTTATAGGCTTATAAAAGGGACAATCAGAAGCAAGAGCAGGGCTTGGTCAGTGGTTCATTGTCCAGACAAGGGAGAGAACAGAGCCAATGATGCCTCTGAGACTTCTGCAAGAGTACAGAATATTGGAAAGAACCCTCAACTGGAGTCCAGGCCATGGAACCGACTTACCTGTGTGCCTTTGGGTAAACGGTGCCACTTCTCAACAGCCCAAAGCACCATCTTCTGCATGAAGTCATTCTTGACACCCCCAAATGTTAGTGCCATCCTCCCAAATGACCTGGTATTTAACTGGCTTGGTACATACTGGCATTTGTTCATATTATATTTAGCCTATATATTTTATATGTATACTTGTTCTCTCACACTGTACACGTTCGTTGTGCTTTGAGATGGAAGGGACCTTTGAGATCACTGATCAATCAATCAACGTTTATTCAGAGACTACTGAGTATCAGGCACCGTGCTGGGGGTTGGGGATCAAAACAGAAGAAAAAAAAGCTTACATTCCTAACGGGAAGACAACATAGACCTATGTGAGTATGTACAGAATATAAAGAGGAATAAATAGAAACAGTGAAAACAAGAAAGTCTCATGAGGACACTCACATTTGGGAGGATCAGGAAAGACTTCCTATAGAAGGCGGGACTTGTAGGAAGGGGGGGGCATCCCATACAACGGCACAGGGGTGAGAGGTGGTGCCATGTGTGTTGTGAGGAAGAGACTGAAATCTAGTCGGACGGGAAGTTTTAAAGAAATCCAAGCTATCAACAATCACATGAAAAATGCTCTAAATCCCAAACAATTAGAGAAATACAAATTAAAGCAACTTTAAAGTTCCACCTCATACCTACCAGACCGGCAAAGATGACAAATGTAGGAGAAGCTTCAGGAAAATAGGCCCATGAATGCACTCCTGGTGGAGCTGAGAATTGGTCCTGGTCCACTCATTCTGAAAAGCAACCCAAAAAGTCACCAAACCGTGCTCACCCTTGGACATCCAGGATAAGATTTCCCATGTGTAGTGGGAGATGTGAGATTGGAAGGCAGAAGAAAAGTTAGTAATGAGTAAAGCGATCTGGGAATCAGCAGCAGAGAAGATAACGGATTCCAAAGAGCATGAGATCACCAAGTGAAACAGTATAGAAAGAAGAGGGATTAGGATGGAGCCTTGGGTGCCACCCCACTTAGTGTGTGTGACCTGAATTCGGATCAAAGACACTGAGAAGAAACAGTCAGACTTACAGAAAAAGAATCAGGAGGGAGAAACCTAGAGAAAAGAGGGTATCAAGGAGAAGAGGGCGATCAACAGCGTCAAAGACTGCAGAGAGGTCAAGGCTGATGACTTGATTTTGTGGGAGGAACAGATTGACTGTTTAAAAACTTTTTATTTGAAAAACTAAATAAGCTAAAACAAAAAAAGAAATCAAATTCGGCTGAAATAAAAATACAGGAGAGGGAGTAACAGACAAAAAGGCTGGAAAGATCAACGAGGATCAGATTGTACGGAGCTTTCATGCCTAAACAGAGGAGTTTACATTTGATCCTGTAAGAAACAGGAAGCCCCTGGAGCTGACTGAGCCCCTGGGGAGTGACGTGGCCAGATCTGAGTTCAGTAAAAATTACCTTGGCAGCAGTGCGTGGGACGGACTGGTGTGGTGAGAGACAGAGGCTGTTACACGCATCTAGGGGAAAGGTGATAAGGAACTGAACTAAGGTGGGAGCGGTTCAATTAAAGAGGTCAGACGTTAGAGACGCAGGTAAAAATGGCAACTAATTAAATGTTGGAGGGGGGAGGCAGAGGGAAGAATCAAACATAGTGCCAAGGTGATGAACCTGGGAGACTCAAAGAGTGGTAATACCCCTGATAAAATAAGGAAAATTGGAAGAAGGTTTTTGAGGGGAAAAGAAAAAGAACTATTTGGGGGTGGGGGAGATAACAAACTTAGTTTTGCACTTATCATGTTTGAGGGGCAGCTAGGTGGCGCAATGGATGGAGTGCCATCCCTGGAGTCAGGAGGACCTGAGTTCAAATCCGGCCTCAGACACATAATACTTCCTAGCTGTGTGACTCTGGGCAAGTCACTTAACCCCAATTGCCTCACTTAAAAAAAAAAAGACATCTAGCTTAAATGTCTAGTAGGCAACTGGTGATGAAGGGCTGACATTCAAGGGAGAGACGGAAGCTATGTATATGCCTACCTGTGTGTGTTATCTGCAAAAAAAAAAAATGATAGTTAAACCCATGGAAACTGAAGAGGAGAGAAAGAACGAAGAAAGCCCTGGTTAGAGCCGTGGGGTGTAGAACACATACAACAGTGGTGTATCCTTGGGTTACGCCCAGTGTGGTGAGGGTGTGGACATGGATGATGAGGCAGCAAAGGAGACTGAGACGGAGCAATCAGACAGTCAGAAAGAGAACCAGGAGAGACCAGTGATATAAAAACCCTCCAAGAGGAAAGAATGTACATAAAAGGGTGGTCCACAGTGTCAAATGCAGCAGAGAAATTGTGAAGGGTGAGGACTGAGAAAATGCTACCAGATTTGGCAAGTAAGAGATCACTGATAACTTTGGACAGAGCAGTTTCAGTTAAGTGAGCCTAAAGCTAGTCTGTCATCAGTCAACAAGCTTTTTTTTTTTGGCAAGGCCATTGTGGTTAAGTGACTTGCCCAGGGTCACACAGCTAGTGAGTGTTATATATCTGAGGCTGGATTTGAACTCATGTTCTCCTGACTTCAGGGCTGGTGCTCTATCCACTGCGCCACCTACCTGCCCCACAACAAGCATTTATGAAGAGCCAAGTACGTGCCAGGCAGCAGGTGGGAAAAAGTCCCTTTTTCCCAAGGAGCTCATATTCTAATGGAGAAGCCAGATCACAAAGAGTTGAGGCATGAGGAGGGTATGTGAAGACAGCTTTTCCCCAGAAGTTGGCTGAGAAAGGGAAGAGAGATAAAAGACGGCAGCTTGAGGGGATGGTTGTTGCTAGTGAAGGCATTTTTTTTTTAAAGATGAAGGCGACTTAGGCATTTGAAGGCAGTAGGGAAGGAACCAACAGATAAGGGAAAATTGATTTGAGAGAGAAGGGATGATTGAGGTTGCAATCTGCTGAAAACAACAGGAAGAGATGAGACCAAACACAGGCGTAGATATTGTTAAACTGACCTTAGAAAGGCCACCAGGAGACAGGGATGGCACCAGAGGGTTTTGAGATGAAGAGCACAGCAGGACCTCACATTGAATGGTCTCGATTTTTAAGAAGTGAGTTCCTCAGCTAAAAGGAGTGCAAGGGGTAGGTGTTGGAGGATTGAAAGAGAGAAGAAAAAAACTGAATCATGTGATATACATCATGTTAAAGTGATATAGGGAATCAATCAATCAGGGAGGAATAAAATGACTGCAGTGACACAGTGCAGAGGCAAAGTGGTCTTTCCATTGGACCAATGCCCCATTTCAGAGAAGGCAACAATGTAACTCACAAGGCAAGGAAGTAGATGGGGGAAGGAAAGGGGAAAAGCTAATAAAGAATACTGCAACACAAGTACAGAAATTGACCTTTATTCATCATACTAATCAGCTTCTTTAACTTTTTTGGTTTTTTTTATACAAAGTGACATTTGTTTAGTACAGAAAATCCTGGTCAGAACAGTACCTGTCTGTTTTAATCGTACCAAAGTCCAACTCTATCCTCAACTCAGGGGAAGAAAAAACAAACACCAAAAAAACAAACAAAAACCCTGCTACCCCTCACTAGGAAAGCTATCTCGTTTAGGTAATACACCAGTACATAATCTACAGTTGTGGTTTGTTTTTTTATTTTATTTTTTTTAATATTTTTATATCTTTGTTTTTTTTTAAGGAGTTTGAGCTAGAAAATGTGTACCTGTAAAACAAGGAACAAAATTCAGGACTGATATAGTTCTTTCTTTTGAGGAAGTGTGCAAGAAAAAAAAATCCCTTTTTTATTTTTTTTTTAAAAAACCAAATAAAACACAAAACTACAACCTGTAGTCTAGAACTAAAAAAAATTTTTTAAGACTTCTTGCTAGAAAAATGAAATGTTAGGAACAGTCCATAAAGCCTCCTCAAATGAAACTGGGATAAACCGAAGAGAGTACAGTACCTACAAAGAGAACAAATAGTTGATGGAGAAGGGAGAGGCAATCTTCTTCCAGGGCCCACCCAAGCTTTCGAAGTGCACAAGCAAATCCAAAGTGCTGCTTTATCACAGAGCGGGGTACACAGCGCGACTGAATGTTACAAACAACAGAAAAAACCCCTTGGTTTTTACTGACTGATTCCAGATAGTGTGAACACTACTATCAAAAGCTTTTGATCCAAAGCCCAAAACTGTGACCATTTTCATATCAAATTTAAACAAAACAAGATTATGTGACTGCTACATACGCTAAAGAACAAAGCAAAAGAATTATCCTACAAAATTGCACCAGTAAAAGCTATTGATATTTACAGACTTTTAACAATGACAGAACAGCATGCATTGGACCGAGTTTACTGCCTTGCTTTCCCCCTCCTCCCACCACTACCAGTCCCCCAAACCAAACTGATTATATTATTACTTAACAAATTGAGTTCAGAATGATCAGATCATCTTCTGGTCTTTAAATATAAATCTACCCAAGTAGAGATGGGGAGAGAAGGGTGGAGAGAAGCAATTTTAACCAGAGGAATTTAAAATAACTCCGAAGTACAGGAGAGAGGCCTTTGATTCTGCCACCCAAAAGTGGGCAAAAGGATCACCTTGCAAATTTATCTAAGAGATGATTCCAGAGATCCCAGGAGAATTTCCAAAGGTTTCCAAAGCCCACCAAATCCCCCCTTCCCTGGACCGACCCTCACTGACCCCAGTACAAACACACAGTCCACTCCCCTCGCCCCCCTAACTCACAGTGCCCTCTCCCTTCTATTCCAAAGTGTGGCTTCACTGAGAACAGGCACAAAAAGGACAGACTGAACAAGAAAAACACGAGAGTAAGAGATGAGGACGGTGGGAGAAAGGGACCAAGACGGCAACAGGCCACAAGGACATTCAAGTAAACATAAACAGCCCAATACTTAGAAAAGGTTTGTAAACTTGTGAATCTAGAAGGTTCTTTCTGCAGCACTGATAATCTGCTGGCTAAAAAAAAAAAAAGGGTGGTCTACCTTGTACCCCCACCATATTAGAAGTCAGTCAGTCAGTCTCTCTCTCTCTTTCTCTCTCTCTCTAGGAAAATAAATGCACAAGTGAGAGAGAAATGAATTCCGATGGCCAAGGCTTCGTTCGGTCTTATTCAGTCACTTTAAGCAGGTGCTTTTGGTTATCTGTGTTAGTGTCTCAATCCCCTTCATGAAGAACTGTCTGAATATATATAATATTTAAAGTCTGGCTGTCTATTTACATCGGAAGAATATGTTCTGCATTTCACAGCAAAATGTCTGTCTACAGTGGGCAAGCTGGAATCCACAGGACTTTATTTTGTTCTTCATCGACAGTCGTCAAGATCTGAGTGCAAATGTTAGCAAGGGCTCCGCCCTGGACGATACCTGTACAACACAGAGAAGCAACAGAGAAAAGGTCAATTCTTCCTCATTGCAAGATCAGCTGTCCAGGTGGTGGATGGGAAACCTCAGAAGCAGAACCAAGACAATTTCTGAAGGTGAGCTAAGTTGGGGGTAAGATCTTGGACTTCTAGAGAAAAAAGGTCCCACAGAGGAAAGGAAGGAATGAAAAGTACTTAAATACTTGTTGTATGCCAATCCTTGAGCACTGGAGTTACAAATAAAAATGCCAAATAATCCCCGTTCTCAAGGACGTTGCATGCTAACTGGCAGAGAAGAACACACAGAAGGGTTCAGTTTCAAAGAAAATGGAAAGATTCAACAGTCTTTCAGTTTCAGTGACAAGACAGCAGTAAAATCTCCTGGCCCTCCATCACACTGGGAGGATTTTAACCGGTAACTCCCTGTTCTCATGCAAGGGAAGCGAGGCTTGAGGGTTGGAGCGGAGTCTGGGCTCTGGGTTATCTCCTCCTGGAAGTGGGGACAGAGTCAGCAGAGAGAATCTTAAACCCTGCGATACTTCAAATCTGCTATAGAGAAAGAAGCAGGTTGGGTCAGGTTGAGGCTCTCCCCTGAGTTGTACTGATATGGCGGGCAAGAAGAAGGCCATGTAGAAACTGTCTATTTTAACTAATTGTTTCTTGCTAATGAGGCACTAAAAGCTCAATTCTTGGTTTCTATCTGCTATAGAAGTGCTATCAGCACCCTCTAAACTTCCACGCCCTGGTACAAAGGACTGATCACCCACACCCAGTTAAAAAGCTCTGCTTAGCAGGCTGCTGGTGTTCCCTTCATTCTCTGCCTGTCTGCTGCCCACTTTTAGTCTTTTCTGAGCCCTGTTCCTGACACCATCAGGAAAGTGGAGCCGAGATGGAAAAATAGATCAAACACTATTATAAAACATTGTGAACGTTTATATTAGGTATTTATTTAATTTTTAACTTATTAAAATAAAAATATATAAAACATAACTCTTATAAAATACATTTTGCTCCTTATTTAAAATGGTTTCATATGCTAGGATACTGAAATGATCGGTAAACATGGGGTTTAAGGTTTCCGACAGGCTTTCAAAAAGACAGGCATTCCATTGCCCCAAAACCAGGAAAAATCAGGAATTTTTTTTTTAACTTGAAAAAGCTACTCCTAAGGGAAACACCACCCAAGTAAAGCTGGATTTGCCCAACCTTACAATTGGTGGAATGTTGACATTTCAGACAACAGCTCTAGAGTGTTTGCCATGATTGTCAGTTACTATCAGAAACCTGGGGAAAATGAAAAGAAATGTAAATCCAAGTGCTAAGTATGTTTTTTTTCTTTGAAAAAAAATTACTGATGTGTTTTGTTTTTCTGTCTCAAACATTTAGAGATTACTGCCACTTTGTGAATGATTTCCTGTTAACAAAATGGTTAAGTAGAACCAATAATACAGTGACCTCATCTGCAAGTGTGCCTAACATTACGCATCTGTGATGGCTAAGTATCGTACAATCTCTATTACTGAGAGTTATAATGGAGCAAATAGTTTATGGGAAGTGAGATGCCAAAGATAGGAAAATAAAACTAAAGTATATCAGACATACGTCCCTCCTGGTAGATACCACCGCTAGAATTCTTTGCAAGCTGATTAAAACTGACCCCCAACTCCCAGACTACACATCTTGTCCTTTCCTGGCAGATCTGCTTCAAATTTTCAAAATGACTTGGAAGCCAGAGAGTAAATCAGCAGCAGGAAAAATGAGGCCTTGGGCTTTTAAATAAGATAAATGAAAAACGCCTAGGCCTAGCTTAGACCTTCCTCAAACACCAACATGGGGCAACAACTAACTTTTCTGCCCTCTGATGCTGAAAGGATCAGTTAACTGTTATCATAGACGTTATAGCTATTTATGAAAGCATTCAATCTATTACTGAGCACAGAATACAGCCATCATCACACCGGGAATTTTCCCCACATTTAGTGGGTACATAGGTTAGAAATGTGGGACTTTTACAATTTACAATTTAAATATACAAACATGAGTGCCCACTCCTTGAGGGCAGGGATTGTTTTGTTTTGCACTGTAGCCTAGGCTCTTATTTAATACAACTTTAATGAAGTTGAAAGGAATATACAGAGTGAGACTGTGACAATTTGTTTTGCTTGAGTATGCACATTTGTTCCAAGGGCTCTGATTTTCCTATTTGTTTTGTTTCATTTTGGGGGGAATGAGAAGGAGAGAAAACATGTGCTTCTTCATTAAAAAAAAAAACCCTGTTATTAAAAAAGAAAGAAAGGGGTGTGATTTGGTGGGATTCTCCCAACACCCCACCCCCAATAATGAAATATTGAGCCGGATGTTAGACAAAAAAGCAAGGCCAGCAAACCTCATGTTTTCCAAAACTGTTGCTTCCATCCCACTCCCCCAAAGTCCTCACCCCATCTCATTCCTATATTTGCAAAAGAAACAGATGACATCAGCTTCCTGACCCAGCCCATTAATGCCAAAGGATGGCTCACCTGTGAAATACTTGCTGTATTCCTGTTCTATCTTCTGAGCTGTCTCAAATTGTTCTTTGGAATATCTCTGTGTGACTTTGTCCCTCAGGAAGATGGGGTCTCTCTGTTCTCTGTTGGAACACCCACAGCAGAATTAGGCTAAGAGGCCTCACTTTTTCACTGTTAGCCTTTTTTGTCCAGGGCCGTGGGAAGCAGCCAAGGGAAACGTAACCACGGTGAAGGGGGCCCCCTAGTGTGTATTCTTGTAAAGGAGCAACCTGACCCTGTTGCTGGAATTGGAGTAGGGGGAGAACGTACCAGAAAGCATCATTGCAATGGAAAAAGTTTAAAATATGTGCACTGGTGCATAAAATATGTGCACTGCAGTGCCTCTGCTGGAATCATGAGGGCAAGGAAGACGAGGTCAGAGAACGTTAGAGCTGAATGGCTTCTTAGATATCACCTACATCTGATTCCATCATTTTATGATAAAAAGATTAACGCAAACAGAAGTGATGCACCTAACCCACAGTACCACCCTCACTCAGCAAGTTAGAAATCAAAGTTAGACCAGAACCTAGGCCTCTTGCCCCAAAGCCAATGCTCCAATGTGCCAACCCTGTCTCTTAACAAGAGAGGTAAACAATGACTTCAGTACAACCCCTTGACCCACTCTGACAGAGACCCAGAAGCCTCGACCCGGAAGGTCACTTACTTGATCTGTTTAGCATTCTTGTAGCGGATGAAGATGACAATGGGGTAGATGTGGATGCTATGGAGCCGTTCGATGGCGTGTGGACCAATGTCCAGGAGACAGTGGCAGTCCTAAGACAACAATCAGCACACCATCAGTACACTAGGATAAAACAACACTTGGGCAGAGCTGGTGGACAGAGGCAGCACACGGCCTTTTAGTAAACATTTCATCTTCTCTAAGGAAGCCAATACACAGGCAGTCTTCTGACCAAACTCCTTCCTTCTATTGCAAGGAATTCATTAATGTTTCCATCATGTTACCACCCCCCCCACTTCACAGAAATCTCCCTTACTCTATAATTAACACATAAGTATCTAACAGTCATTAAGGAATTACAATATGGCTTCCATGAACAATAACCTACAAACTTTAAGAAACCAATCCAAGAGAAAGCCTGTATCATGGCGCCATCAGCTGCTTGACTTCAGTGAGATGAGATCCAGATGGCCCGAATTTAACCTACGTACCTATGAATTCACAGATACTAAGTGTTACCTGGAAAATATCCACCTTCTTCTAAAGATGGACACAGATGCACAGTTAAAAAAACCTGCCAAAGCAGGGAATCATATAATCAACCTGCTATTTTAATGGAAGAGAAAACTGAGATCCAGAGATGCGACATGCAGAATATCACAGAGAATGTTGTAGGGCATCCAGAGCTGACCACTCCTACTTCTTGAGCTCTCTCTGGCTCCACACCTACAGACTAAAGCAGGGACATCAGTACCTTCTCTGTTATCTCCTTTATTGATGCTACAGTGGTCACATCGAAATGGCCACTTCTCCTTTTATAGTCAATGAACAGGCAGTCCTTGACCCCTCGCTCAATGGCCTGTTGGGAGGCCTTCATCACCTCTGAAAGACACAAAAAGATATGAATGGCTCTCTTCCCTTGGAGCTACCCTAAATCGCTCTCCCTGTCACTTAGGATAATGTCTTGTTCGGGTAACCTGGCTCTGGTCACAACCTTTCCTATACTTTAAGGTGCCCCAAAGTCTTCTTTCTCTTTTCTATATTAGATACTCCTTGGTTTCCCTACATCTTCTCATGACTCTTTCTCCCAAAGTTTCTAGTAATCTTATAGTTTCTCCTGAGAAAATGTAACTGTTATTTCAATGCTAACTTGTTATCCCAAACATAAGATGTAGTAAGAAGAATAAGAAAGACACAGTATGAATAAGTATTCTTACAGACTGTGGTCACCAATATTGGCTAACTGAGGCATTCTGTCTTCCCAAGAAGTCTACCTACCCAGAGGACATCTGCAAAACTTTCCAGGAGCCTCCTTCACCAACATGTCCTTCACAGCATCAAGTAAAGGTCCCAGAATCAATACAGGCCTTGGAGAAGTGCAGTCCACCTTCTGCACCCGCTGATAAGCCAGGCTGACTGAATCTGAAAAAGGAAAACATCAAGAGATGAGCAGGGGGCTCAGAGAGGGGAAAATGGCTCAACTCTTAACTTGGATCAGAACTAATTTTTCAGTTGGCCAGAAGAGAAGGCTAAGGAAGCCATTTCTTACACACACACACACACACACACACACACACACACACACACTGAATAGTAGTCAGTTAATTAATAAACATTTGTTAAGTGCTTACTATGTGCCCTCAGGGAGGTCACAGTCTCGAGGGGGAAACAGCATGCAAATAATTATGTGCAAGCTATATACAGGATAATTAAGAAGTAATCAACAGAGGTAAGGCACTAGAATTAAGAGGAATTGGGAAAGGTTTCCTGTAGAAGGTGGGAATTTAGCTGGAACTTAAATTCAAGGAAGTAAGGGAAGCCATGAGGCAGAAATGATGAAAGCAAGCATCTCAGCTAGTGAAAATGCCCAGGAGTCAAGAGATGGAGTGTTTTGTTCAAGAAGAGCAAGACAAGCATTGTCACTAATTTGAGAGTTTGTGGGAAAGTATATGGAGTAAGAAGACTAGAAAGCAGAAAATGGGGGAACGGATAGGTTATGAAGAACTTGAACACCATCCAGAAAATTTTATATTTGATCCTGGAAGTGACAGGAAATCACTGGAATTTATCGGGGCAGGAAAGACATGGTTGGACCTGTGCTTTAGGAAAATCACTTTAGTGGCTGAATGGAGAATAGACTGGAGTAAGGAGAGACTTGAGGCAGGCAGACCCAATATCAGTGCAATAGTCTAGGCATGAAGGGCAGAGCACCTGCACCAACATGGCGAAGAAAGGGGCCATATTCTAGACATGTTACAAAAGAGAAATCAACAGGTCTTGGTAAAGCTTGCATACAGGGACCAAGAGATAATGAGGAATTGTGGATGACACCAAGGTTGGGAGCCTGAGGGACTGGGAGGATGGTGGTGGCTTCAATAATAATAGAGAATTTGGAACCGGGAGTTGTATTTGAGGAGCGTCACAATTCTAACTTTTCCTTCTGCTACCTAAGTATAAAGAATACTTTCATCATTCATATCTCCTATTCATAACCCTCCTTATACCTCTGAGTCTGACTATCACACCCCACATGAAATACACAGGACCTCTATAGAGAATGAGGAGTATATTACACAGGTCTACCAAGAAAGTATTGGATACAGCTTAAAGTGGGGAGGGGAAGGGAAACTCAACCCAATGTTTGGAAAGAAAAGCAGAAAGACACTTGTTTGAAACCTACAATTAATTAAAATCAATCAACACAAGTTGCTCCACTGAGAGCTGAGAACCATGCCTTTGAAGGGGTCTTGGGAATACTCCACCAAAAGTGGTGTTTAATCAGTGCTTACTGCATCAAATGGCAACGACCTAAGACTGATCATCCCCTGAGCCCCTCCCTGAGATCTGCAACCAGCAGCCTACAATTTAGCCTGGAAAGGAAACCTGAGGGATAGCCAGCCCCTCTAAGGCCACCAAAGTCACTTGCCCTCCAGGAAGGGAATGGAGTCTGTGCTGATGGTGTCCAGAGCCAGCAAGTCTTTGCTATCCTTAGAGCCATTCCGTTTATGCTTCTGTTTTCTTCGAAAGAAGGACCTCCGTGCCGCGGCTGACAACGTCTTTGAGGAGTTGTTTTCATCTTTGACCTCAGACATGCTGTGCCTCCTGGAGACTTCCTGGTCCATCCTACAGTAAGAAATGGTACAGCTGAATGTTAGCGTGGGCAGGAAGCTCAAGCATCATCTAGTCTAGTGCCACCCAAGGTCAAATGGTTAACAGCAGAGTAGGCGTGACCCAGGACTTCAACAACAGGGGCCTTACAAATAGATATGTCCACCTGAAGCTACTTTCTTCATCCACCCACCATTCCATTATACAAAGGTGACATTCCTTTTAGGCCACCAGTCTCACGAGTCAAATACATGCCTTAGAAGTAAACCGTCTGAAACAGGAAAATGATAAATGTTGGAGAAGCTGTGGGAAAATTGGAACATTACTGCATTGTTAGTGGAGTTGTGAAATGATTCAACCATTTTGGAGAACAATTTGGAACTATGCCCAAAGGGCTATAAAAATGTGCATACCCTTTGACCCAGCAATAGCACTTCTAGGGCTATATCCCAAAGAGATCATACAAATGGGAAAAGGACCCACATGTACAAAAATATTCATAGCAGCTCTTTTTGTGGTGGCAAAGAACTGGAAATTGAGGGGATGCCCATCAATTGGGGAATGGCTGAACAAGTTGTGGTATATGAATGTAATGGAATACTATTGTGCTATAAGAAATGATAAACAGGCTGACTTCAGAAACACCAGGAAAGACGTCTATGGTCTGATGCTGAGTGAAGTGAGCAGAACCAAGAGAATGCTGTACATAACAACAGCCATGTTGTGCGATGACTAATATTGATAAACTTAACCCTTCCCAGCAATACAAGAATCTAAGACACCTCCAGAGGCCTCGTGATGGAAAATGCTATCCACATCCAAAGAAAGAACTATGAAAGTTGAATTGCTATTTTTTTCTCTTTTGTTGAGTTTTGTTTTCTCTTTCTGATGGTTCCTCCTATTGGTTTTAATTTTTACTTACAACACCACTAATGTGAAAATATGTTTAATAAGAATGTAAAGGTATAGCCTATATCAGATTGTGTGCCGTCTTGGGGAGGGTGGTGGGGAGGAAGGGGGAGAAAAATTTTAAACTCAAAAGCATATGGAAGTGATTGTTGATAAATTAAAATAATAAAATTTTTTGTAAAAAAGAAGTAAACTGTCTGGTAGCAATCAAGGTTTCTCCCTATGTAGTGATGTTTTTGGATATAATGATAATAAGGCTATGTCAAACAGTTTGTGACTTCCTCAGTGGGTACCAGTTGCACAGATGTGGACTGCAATGTCTTCATGCCCTAAGAGAGGGCTTCATGAATTGCTGTAGTCAAAAGGCAATTTTAAAATCACCTGGTGGCCAGCCCCCTAGGGAAAAGAGTAATAAATAACAGCAGCTTAATTTACACAGCTCTTGACAGTTTACACAGTGCTACATAGCTTATTTCAGCATCACAAAAATCCTAAGGGTGCAAATATTTCACTGATTTTAAGCCAGGTAAGGAAACTAAGTCTTACAGAGGCAGCTAGGCAGAGAAGTGGTTAAGTTCCATTGGACTTGGAAGCCAAGAAAGTCTGAGTTATCCTGCCTCAGATACTAGCTGTGTTACCCTAGACAAGTGCCTGAACCTTTCAGCCTCAGTTTCCCCACCTGTAAACCAAGGATATTAATGGAACCTACCCTCCCAGGGGTGTTGTGAGGATCAAATGAAATCACAAGTACAGTCCTTTGCAAATCTTAAAACACCACATAGTCCTTATTAAAAAGGTTGAATGACTTTTCCAAGGGCTCACAGCTAGGAGGACTTGGACCCAAATTGTATAACTTAGTTAACAGAAGCACTGTCCTTTCACTCGGCTTCTACCCTATTATGTAGAATCTCAGTGAGATTTGAAATCCCTGCAGACCATTATATTTGAGCATTGGACAGGCTGAAAATAAAAGGAAGAGCGTCTATTCATACACTGAGTGACGGAAAGCCCAGGAATGGGGCAAAGGAAGTGCATTCACTCTCAGCTCTTCTGGTTGCTTTGGCTCACGTATCTGAAGTCATCTTCACTCCCCCTTCCTCTCCTACCCCTCCATACCACTAACTAATGATCATATCCTCCAGAGCAGAGGTATCAAACACAGTGGGCAATACTCCTAAGGACAGCCCAATGCAGACCAAAATCCACCTGGGTAATAGTTCACTAAATAAATGAAAATCCAATAGAACGTAGCTAACGTTGACATGTGCTTTTCTAAGTCAATATGCAGCCTGTAGTGATCCTTGTGTTTGGTTTAGGGGCCCCCTTTCCTATGTGAGTTTGACTCCACTGGTCCAGTCTTCTTTCCCAACAGTCTGCCTTCTCTTGTGTCTTCTGATGCTAATACTCCAGAGGCCCCACCTTGTAAAAGACAGAGGTGCCTCCAAGTCAACTGGACCAGGGTTGAGTCTTACCTCTGACACACAGTAGCCATGGGACTCTCACTTGAGCTCTCAGGGCCACTGGGCCACTCTCTAAAAAAATCTAGAAGATGTACAAAAGGTACATGTCTGCATGAAGGAGCTTCGATATCCTAAGCAAATAAAATAACTGGTCCATTTAAAAAACAATAAACAAACAACTACTAATAAGCTCCTGATTACTTCATACCTCCCAGAAGGAGGAGACCCAGAGACTTTCCCCTCTCCCACAATGACCAAAAGGCCCATTTTCTTCCGCCTCTACACCCCCTTCTCCCTCCTCTCTGCCCCTCGGGAGCTAAACGTCCTCTCACATGTATTTGCTGGGGATCTGGCCTCTTTCCAGTTTCTGGGCATTCTCATCTAGTTGCCAGGCCATCCAACAGCCAAAGGTGCCCTGGGGGAGGGTGTCGTCAATATAGAGGATGTCGTCCTTCTTGAAGCCCAGCTCCTGATCTACTTCTGCCAGTCGGTCATACAGCGCCCTGGACCAGAGGGAGAGGAGAGAAGGGTCAGCACTTGTCTCTCCTTTGCTGTCCAAAGTCCCAAGGGATGTTCTTTCACACTCGGTCCCTAAAAGCTATGCTACCTCACACCTCCTTGCATCAGATCCAAAGACATACCTCGAGAGCAGAGTGCAATGCTTCCTGATGGGCCAGAGGCCCCCTCCAAAAAAGGACTAGGTTATTAAGTCAGGAGCTCCCCCAGGGGACAAGCTGTCTCCGCTGACCAGCCCGAGGGCAGCCAAAAACAAAGAATGAACCCCCCTCCCTCTCATCAGGGGTTGTAACTGTACATTCTGTAGCCCATGTTCACAACGTTCCCCTGTATCATAGGGAATCATCAAATCTCAGAATCATCATCTCATCGGAAACATCAAAACTCAGTGCTAGGGGTTGAAAACAAGAGACTTCCTGCCACTCTCTCCTACGCTTCTTGGACCCTAGGTCCAAATCTGGTGTTCTGCCTTGTCCCTCAAACACTTGAGAAGCTTTGTTTTGCCACTAACGTAAAAAAGCCTAAAGATGAATTAATAGCCATCCTTATGACCACCCCTAGGGACAAGACATGGGGAGATACTGATCAGAGACAGGCTGTACTTCACATCTAGCCAAAAGACAACTTAGGTTTTGTGAAAGAAACAGGGCAGGCCACCCCGAGTACCTAATGTAGAAGCCATCTCCTGGAATGTCCTTGACCTTGTTGAAATCCTCCAGGCGGTACTGCACCTTCACACGAATATTTTCACCAGGTTTCAGCATCTCCAGGTAGGCTTCCTCAGCTGTTTTATTCCTCATGTCCACAGAACCGTACTGCCAAGGGAAAGGAAAAGAAAACTGGGGGTGAGGACAGGCAGAGGGCTGAGGGTCAGGAAGGCAAGATCAAATGACAGAAAGAGAGACGAGAGAGACAGAGGACAGTAGAGACACAAAAGGAGAGAAAGAGAGATGGGTGGGCCAGAGGAAGAGAGAGGGGGGAAAAAAGTAGGGGAGAGGGAGAGAAGGGGAGGGAAGGAAAGAGGGAGAGAGAAAGAGAAAGAGACATGGGTAAAAGAAAGGAATAGAAGAAGAAAGCACAAGACAGAAAAGAGAAAAATAGGAAGGAAGAAAGAGAAGACTGAGGAGAAGGAAGAAAAAGGAGAGAGAATAAAAGACAGAGAGAGAGTAGAGAGACTGACAAAAGAGATAAAAGGAGAGAGGGAAGAGAGAAGACTGAAGAGAAAGAAAGAGGGAGCAAGAGAGAACAGAGACAGAAACAGAGCAAATATCCCTACCCTGTCCCTAGATGGCAGATTCTTCCATTTTAAACTTCCAGGCCTCTTTTTGTCTCTTCCTTTGAGTATCTTTGGCCAACACCCTCTATACTCCCTCCGTGGCTAATTCCAGATAGGCAGATTCCCTGAAGTAGAATATAACCTCCTGGGAAGCAAGATCTTCTCATTTTTGTTTTTGTACTCCCGGTTCCTAGTACAGTGCTTGGCACATAGTAGGGCTTAATAAACACTTATGAAGTGAAATAGAATCTGCCCTCTCTCTAGATCCCACATGGCCTCTCAGAAGAACTGGATGTCTCCAAAGCTGGTACATGCACCTTCTCATGTTTCCTGGGCTCATTTCTACATCCTTAACATTTTCCCTATCCTACCTACCATCCTACCTACCCATGAATATCAGGGAATGAGCTTCTTAAATATGGGAACTATATCCTCCCTGTTAGATTGGGGCTCCCTGAGGACAAGGACTATGGGTGTCCCAGTGAACCAATCAATAAGTTATTTTTTTAAGCCCCTACTACGTGCCACGCACTATGCTAGGCCCTGGGGATAGTAAGATAAAAGTAAGACAGACCTCGCCCTCAAGGTAGTTACATTCTATTAGAGGACATGGACAAAATATACATGATGCAATTTTAGGGAGACCACACTAACAGTGTGGGGCCTTGAGATCAGCCTCACAGAGAAAGGGGCATTTGAACCGACAGGGACAGGGACAGTCATGAGATCAGGGGCTCCCTAAGAGTTAAGAAGCCTAGATTCCAAGTGGTTCCCACAGGGGAGAAATTCTTCATTTAATTAGCTCATGTCCTTACCTCAAGTATAAGGTCCCCTGGCACCAGCCCCTCGGGACCACTGGCAGGACTGCCATCTTCCACGTCTGCCACAAATACCCCATGCAGGTTCCCGCCACATATCTGCACACCGAGTTCCACCTGGGACTTTTTGATGATGACAACTCGAGGTTCTGGAGTTCTCTTGTTGGCATCTGCCAAGATCCTTTGGGGGAAGAAGGGAAGTTAACTGTCTCTCAACCACCCACACAGACCCTTTGTCAAAGAAGAAGTGGGTTCCAAGCCATGGCACAGGAAGCCTGGATCTTAAAGGTGAAAGTAAAGGGACAGCCTTTAGTCTCCTCTTCCAGAAAGCTCCTGAAACAAGGGGCTGGAGCAGACTACCTGTGGAGGTTCCCTCCAGCCCAAAGATCTAAGGTTGTCATGCCAGGACTTCTATTCCAAAAGCTGCCTTGGTTATAGCCATGAATCGATAGCTCACTAAGACAGAAAGCAGGAGATAATCTAAAAAATATTGTCTGGCCTTGAAGTATGCCTCATGTTTTCTTTTGTTATACATTTATATTCATAATTATATGTTACTTAAACAATTATTAAAAATAGTCTCACTTTCTAACAATTAAGTGTCAAAAGAACCCAGTTCAAAGGCCTAATGTAACGGAAAAAGGAGAGAATTCCCCCCTCAGAAAATATTTGTCACTGGAGCATCATCTGTCTCAGAATCCCTTAGCATGGGTGGCCCCCAGAGTCCTCCCCTCCCCTCCCCTCCATTCTCCTCTCCTCTCCTTCCCTTCCCTTCATTGTCTTCTCTCTTCTCTTCTCCTCTCCTCTTCTCTTTTTCTCCTCTCTTCCCCCCTCTCCTCCCTCTATATCCAGAAGGGTACATCCTATGTAATAAGCTAACTATAAATGTTTGTCCACTGATTGATCCAACTGTAAATGTCTTCAGTGCCTACCTCACAGAGTTGTGAGGCTGAAATGACATAACAAACATAAAGGTACTCTGCAAACCTTAAAAAAAAGAAAATATTTGTCAGTGGTTGCCTCCTTTCTTCCCCGGCAGCTCCTCCTCCACAGCAGAACCCTGATCCTCCCCATCGTCAGGCCTCCTGGCTCTGGGAGAATTCATTTGAATCCCTACTCTGTTCCCATCATCAGTCTGAATAGGTTTGATATTCTATATAAATCATATAGGGATAGTCAGGTTCTTAGTGGGCCTCAAACGTTAATGTAGCATTCACTATCTATTTACTAAGTTATGGGGCTTTCTTGCACAACTGGACCATTCTCTCTTGTCCAACATGAGCAGGTGACCATCTTATGACCATTTTTAGTCAGTGGAGATGTGCTGTGCTTTACCCAACCTGTGATCCCCCTGCGAATATGTCATTTTTGTTTGGCTGGTTGGTTTTTTAGACAATTGGGGTTAAGTGACTTGCCCAGGGTCACAAAGCTAGTAAGTGTCAAGTGTTTGGTCTGAGGCCGGACTTGAAATCAGGTCCTCCCTGACGTCAGGGCGGGTTCTCTCTCCACTGCACCACCTAGCTGCCCCTTAATATGTCACTTCTGGCCCTCAAGATCAAGGTCTATCAAGCCAATGTGATTCTGGTATTTGCCATACCTCTTTTGCATATTTGGGTATCACACCCTATAATAACAAGGTCCTAGAAAAAGGAGGCATCTCAGATCATGAGGAAGATCTGAAGTCCGCTTTATTAGGAGACCACAGATATTTTAATAAAGTGTCATTGGCTCAGAAAAAAAAATCGTCACACCCCTTTTTTGTGGAAGCAAAGAAATGGAAAGAAAGTAGATGTCCATGGATGGGGAACCGCAGAACCAATCCTGCTCTATTAATATAGTGGAATACTACAGCACCATAAAAACCAACACAGAAGCCCGGGATGACTGGGATGGACATACGTCGAGTGACAGGAACAAGCAGGGCCATGGGACCTTGTACGTCAGGGCCACACTAACATAACAGGACATAACCTCAAAAGACATTAAGCCTCTGCTCGACGCATTATCTAATCATATTGCCAGGGAGCTGCCGGTAAAGTGGAGAGGTGGGGACCCAAAGCATTATCTTATCATATTGCCAGGGAGCTGCAGGTAAAGTGGAGAGGTGGTGACCCAAAGCACTATGTAATCATATTGCCAATGAGCTGCAGGTAAAGTGGAGAGGTGGGGACCCAATGCATTATTAATTATGTTGCCAGGGAGCTGCCGGTAAAGTGGAGAGGTGGGGACCCAATGCATTATCTAATCATATTGCCAGGGAGCTGCAGGTAAAGTGGAGAGGTGGCGACCCAAAGCACTATGTAATCATATTGCCAGTGAGCTGCAGGTAAAGTGGAGAGGTGGGGACAGTAGGAGCAGAAAGAACTTAGCTGCAACAACCTGTGTTGTAAGGGAGGGTTCAGCAGGAGACAGGGGAGTGAGAAGGAAGTGAAAGCTTTCTAAAATAATATCAATAGAGCATTTAATTTAAAAAATGAAACAAAGTTTTTAACAACTTTTTTAAATGAGCTCAGGACAATTAGGACACCTGAGTTCTAGCCTAATTCTCTCTGCAACAAACTGTGTGACCTTGAAAACCTTTCAAAAACAAAGCTAGACGATCTCTAAGGGTTCCCTTCAGGATGAACGTTCTTGGAGTCTCAGCCTCAATCAAAAATAAGCTGAAGATAACCCTCCCAGAGTCACCTTGCCTTTGCTCTCACCTAGCCTTTCCCCAGCCATATCGTGACCCTGTTCCCTCAAATCATGGTAGTGAGAATATCAAGTGTGTTTTCCCAGTTCAACAGAATAGACATATCATGGCGCAACAGTCTGGGCTGTCCATTGGGAGGCAGTGTTGTCACACTTAGTTATTCTGTCAATATAACCCACACTTGAACTGGCTTAACATCCCCTTCTGGTCAGTGCATTTGAGGGCAGGCCAAAGATGGGGTTCAGAGGCCAATACTCAAAAAACCCACAGATAAGTGAGAATTGATTGCGCTTTGAATCTCTGAGTGAAAGACTAGAATAGGGAGCTAAATGATGGCAAGGCTTATAAGCTTACACTTGATGGCCAGGTTCATTTCACCCAAGTCTTGGCCCACAGAGTGATCTTAATTATTTGGTGTATGTGGCTGCTTCAAATCCATTTGAATTTCTGCATCGGTGTGAACAAGTGCCTAGCCCAGAAATGGTCTGATTATCTAGAGTCCCCCTCAAAGCAAAGAGAGGGGTGTGTGGATAAGGAGATATCAGTGGCTGACCTGATGGAATTCCGAGGGCTGGTGGTAGGTGTGGTCTGCTTGGATGTTGGCGTTATGGTCCCCTCATCCTGCTCACTCACTGTGTCAATGATGGAATGGCTGTCTGGAGTGGCAGACCCACTGCCCTGGGGATTGGAATGAGTGCTCACAGGGTCCAGTCGAGAACTACAGAGAGACAAAAAAAAAAACTTCTCACCACCACCATCACTACCCCAGACCCCAAGGACCACAGCCCAAATCTCTACCATTGATCACAAATCAACAATGTGATATGGCACCCCCAAAACTAACATTGTCAAGGTTTTTGCATAAATAGAAGCAGAATTTTCAGAAGGGTTATAACAGTGACACTGTATTCTGTCTGAGTCAGGCCACATCTACAGGACTGCTATCACTTCTGGGCACTACATTTTAAGAAAGACAAGCTGGAGCATGGTGAAGGACCTAAAAAATGTATTATGGAAAGCTTAGTGGAAGGAGCTGGGTCTGTTTAGCCTAGAGAAGAAAAGACTTAGTAAGAAACATGATAGCTGCCTTTATGCATTTCAGAGACTGTCACAAAGAAAAGGGATTAGGTCCTAGGCTTGGTCCTAAAGGGAAGAATTAGGAACCATGACTAGAAGTGTCAGAGAGGAAGGTTTAAGGACATACAGAAATTCTTACTAATAATCAGGGCTGCCCCAAAGTGGAACAGACTACCTTGGGAAGCAGTGAACTTCTCATCACTTTAGGGCCTCAAATAGAGGGTCAGATGACTGTGTGTTTGTCTGTACAGGTTACAAAGGTATCAGTGTCCAGGTACAAAATGAATAAGATGATCTCAGAGGTCTCTTCTAATACTGGTTTTAATTTTTTCTATCATGGAGGCTTCTCTTTTAAGGGGAGAAAGAAATTTAAGCCGTGACTGAGAATTAAGCCAACAATTCTTATCTGCCCTAAAGCAAAATCCTGTACAAAGAAAATATGTATATAGTTCAAAAGACTGAACAAAGCTCTGGTTTACACCCTTCCCTCTTTGATCCTCTCTTAACTTCTACCCTTACTCTCTAGGGTATGAAATACCACCTTCTCTTACAGCCACGTCGGACCTATCCTAGGCACAGAACTTCACACAGAACACATATTCAAAAAACACTTGTTCAATGACTAAACAACATGAGGCCACTTCATATAGCCTGAGAATTCATGCAGGACCTGTGGCCACATTCCCCAGTAACTGGGCCCCCAGAATGGGGCCTTTGAGGCAGGGATAACCCAGCCATGGGCTCTCAAATCTAAAATGGAGGAGATCCCAAGTATAGTATAGTAGATGGAGTTGGGAAGACCTAGCTTCAGTTCCAACCTCTGACACTTGTTAGCTTTGTGTCTGTAAGCAAGTCATCTTATACCTCAGTGTCCTCATCTGTAAAATGAGGAGGTTGGACAACATGACCTCTGAGGTTCCTTTCAGCTCTAAATCTTTAACTATGATTGTTTTTCTCCCTCTCCCCCCAAGCATAGGACATTAGCTAGCGGATAGAGTCACTAAGTCAAGTAACAAGAAGCACGCTGGATCCATTCAATGACCAAATCATAAGATCAAAGACTTAGAGCTGGAAAGGCCCTAAGAGGTCATAGGGTCTAACCCTCTCATTTCCCAGATCATGAAACTGTATCAAAAAGAGCTTAATAAACAAACTACCCAGGATCCAACAGTTAGTAAGTATCTAAGGCAGGATTCTGACCCTACAGCTTCCCAACTGCAAGTCCAGTGTGGCCCGGTGAACAGAAAACTGAGCTTGGAGTCAGGAGTTCTAATCTGGCTTCAGACACTTACTAGCTGTGTGACCCTTGTACAAGTGACTTAGTCTCTTTCCGCTTCAGTTCTCTCAACTGTAAAAGGAGGGTAAGGATAGCACCTACCTCCTAGGTTGTTGCGATGATCAAATGAGGTAATATTTGTAAAGTACTCAGCACGTGCCTGACACAGAGTAGGTACTCTATACATCCTTCCCCTCTTTTCCTCCCTTCTATCCACTAAACCATGTGGCCTCCTCCTTCTTTAATCATATCTTCCCACTGACACTTTCCCCACCCTCAGTCTCATCACCATCCAAATGGTGGTCCCTCTGTAAGAGGGAGCTGCTCTTACCTGGACCGGGAGTGATTGCCAAGCTGATACATGTGTGGGTTATACTGGGCCAGGATAGTAATGGTGTCACACTGCTGACCGATGATCAGCCTCGCCTGTTGCTCTGTCGCATTTCTCAAGTTAATGCCATTGAACTGAAAGAGAAAACAAATGGATCATGGGGGGACATTAAGAAGGGCCTGACAAACCCTAGGAGAGCTGGGAGGTCAATACTTCTTTTTATAATTTCAAAAAACATCAAAGCTATTCTAGGACCACAGACTCTGACAGGTAGCTCCCTATAGTCCAGAAGCTACATAAAAAGAATCTAAAACAAATACTCATCTATCCTTTGCTTGACTTCCATGGAGGAGGAGAGAGCAAGACAAAATAATCCATTCCTAGACAACTTTAAGTGGCAGAAAGATTTTATGGACACAAGGCCTAAACTGGTCCCTCTGAATCTTCATTCCCACCGCTCTAGATTCTAAAAGAACAAAATTAAGCCTTCTTCCCCACAACATTCCTTCAAACACTTGACGATAGCTCTCATGGGCCCCTTGGGTCTTGTCTTCAGTCTAAGCATCCTCAGTGTCTTCAAAAGGTATTCTGTGATCTATCCTGGATACTTCTCCTAACTCCCTCTCCTAAAACTCAACATGGCACAAAGGAGACCTTGAGCTTTTAAAAGCTAGGTCAGCAGATCACAATCTCTGGCACATCCTGTCAAGCCCTGTAATGGAATAGACCTAGTCACACCACCAGGGACAGCAAGGAGGCAGTGAGGTACAATGGAAAGGGTTCTGGAGTCAAAGGACCCGGGTTCAAATTTTGCCTCTGATGCTCATTTCCTATATGACCTTGGGAAAATCACTTCACCTGCCTGGACCTCAGTTTCCTTAGCTGTAAAATAAGGGGTTGGAGTAGATGGCCACAGGTTGTTTCTAGCTCATATCCTGTGAACATAAACCAGAGGGAAGAATCTGATTCATGGAGAGCTCTACTTGGTCCCAGTGAAGGGTCTAGAGATACAAGGGCTCTGATTATCACCATGACATAGGGTGCTTCCATTTCCAGGTCATTAGAAGAAAAGTTTACAAAATGAGAAGACTTCCCTCAGGGGAGGTCAATTCTTACCTCCAATAACTGATCACCATACTCTAGGCCAGCTTGGTGAGCAATGCTTCCTCCAGTTACTTTCGAAACGAAGATTCCACCATTTTCACCACTCACAATGGAAATTCCCAGTGGCTCTGAACCCTTTTGCACTTTGACATGGCGAGGTTCCTCCATGTAAGGCCTTTTCAAAGGAAGAAACAATCCTAAGTAGGCTTTCACCCCAAAGGCACACTCTGGACAGAATGATGTTTAATCACAGATCAAAGACAGACACAAAAGAAACATGCGATGGTCTACAAGGAAAAGACCAGACATCATGGCATCCCCTTCTCAAGGAAAATCAAATAAATATTTAGGAGATGGGTGACAACCATAGTAAATGGAAATGTGATGACCATCCCTTTCATAACAGATTGTATACATTCCTAAAACCTCATGCAAGAAAAAAAAATGGCACCACCCCACAGAAACCAGGGTACACAGTCTTAAAGATGTGGATTAGCTGAGAACACAACAAAAAGGATGGGCAACACAAACTATAAACTCAAATAAGAGGAGGAAAGAAAATGGCAGTCCATATTATATATGGAAGTAGTTGCCTTATATAATATGTAATTTATAAATCATAATGTGGAAGCGTTCCTGACTCATATAGTTTATAAATGTTTGGGGGGCTAGGGATGGGGAGGGAATGTGAGACTCTAGAAAACCAGGATAACTTTCAGGATGAGGTCAATCCAGGGGAGGCAATCCAGGAGAATTCATTTTTATATTTGCCAACTATGCCAGGTGATGCAAATCAATCATAGGAATTAAGCCATTGCAAACCCAAGCCATTAAAAATAATTTAAAAAAAATACCAGAGCGGTTTTGCATGGTAGCATCACAATTACCATGCAAATGCTCCCTGGGGAAATTATCCAAACGTGTCAAACAGGCACAAGGAGAAGTGCACAATACTGCTGGAGGAGAACCTTATGTCAGTCAGGCCAACCTCAAACTCCTTAGGGAGGAGAACCTAGGCCTGGGAGCCACAGGAAGTCTCAGAAAAGATCTATTACGGTACAGATATCTGGAAGGGGCAGAAGATTCGGGAGAGAAGGAGAAGAAAAACTCAGACACAGAACAACAGACACCGAGAAACGTCACAGGAGGAGGAGGAGGAGCAGGAGGAGGAAAGAACCGAGAGGGGCTTTTTTCCCACATCATGACATCCCACTTATATTCTGACCACCAAGCAACATTTCACCTTAAGACTGCAACTCCCTGAGGTCAGAAAACATGGCATCCAGATATTAGATATCTAGCCCCACAGTAGCCCCTCATGCCATGCTCACTGACTGGAGACCATCCTTTGACTGGCTTGGCTGCGTGGCGAACCACTCTCTTCCTTTCTCCCTCCCAATGCTAAGTTTACTATACACAATCAACTTCCTGGGGTTAGTGCTATTCTTTTCCATTGGACTGTAGGCTCCTTATACGTAGCGATTTATTCCATTCTTTGAAATGTGTCCCTCAGTTCCTAGCCTACTGCCCAGGCACATAGTAGGCACTTAATATGCTTATTAATTAATGCTTATTGATTGATTAGTCATCTTTTTTTTTTTTGCTAGGCAGTGGGGTTAAGTGACTTGCCCAGGGTCACACAGCTAGTAAGTGTTATGTGTCTGAGGCTGGATTTGAACTCAGGTCCTCCTGAATCCAGGACTGGTGCTCTCTCCACTGTGCCACCTAGCTGCCCCCTGATTAGTCATCTTGCAGTTAAGGTTCTGCCTGGAATCTTCTCCATTCCATCTTTAATTATCTAGATAATATAAAGTTTTAAATACCAGCTCCTCCAAGAAACTTTTCCCAAGAATTCCAATCAATACTAATCTCTTCCTTATCTGAATTTCTTTGTGGTTTTCAGTCCTGTCTGAGGACTCTTCATGACCCCATTTGGGGTTTTCTTGGCAGACATTGGAGTGCTTTGCCATTTCCTTCTCCAGTTCATTTTACAGATGAAGAAACTGAGGCAAATGAGTTTAAGTGACTTGCCCAGGGTCACTCTGCTAGTAAGTGTCTGAGGCCATTTTTGAACTCACTAAGATAAGTCTTCCTGACTCCAGGCTGGGCGCTATATCCATTGCACCACCTGGCTGCCCTCTGAATTTCTACTATACTTGAAGTATCACATATTTTAAGGCATTATCATAGCACCTTAGAAATTCGGGGCTGGAAAGAAACTGGTCTAATCCCCCATTACCCACCCACCTCTAATTTTATAGCCTGAAAAACTGAAGTTCAGAAAGGGTAAATAATCTGCCCAAGGTTATTGCCAGCTATTTGCTGACAAAACTTAGGTCTCCAGATAATCAATCAGTCCAGAGTCCTTTCAATCCTACCATGCCTACTGAATCAATCAATAAACATTTATTAAAGACCAATGCTAAGGGCTGGGGATAGGAAAGGAGACAAAAGACAGTCCCACAAGGAGCTTACAATCTAATCTAATCATTTCTAGGATCCCACTCCAGATCCAAGATCCTTTTAAAAACAATCTTGTGAGCTTCCAGTTTGGATGAACAACAGAAAATAGAGAAGGCACAAGCACTTTAGGGGTGGCGGGTACAGACCAAAACATCTGGATTAGCATTAAAGTTAATTAGCCTTGAAGTTAACCTGATCTAAGAGTGATTTAAGAATCAACAGCAGCCAAAACCACCCTGCTGCTGGAGAGGTTGAGGCCAGGGGATCTGAACTCTGAACTCAATCTGCTATCTGCACTAAGTTCAACATAAATGTGGGGACATTAATATCAAGTGGGATGGGACTGGGGGCAGGCCAGCCCGGGGGAGAAAAAGACCCGGTCAAAGCTCAAGATCAGAGTGTTACTGACCAAGAGACAGGGAGATCTGGTCTCCACAAACAAAGGACACTTTCTTACTGTCCAGTGACAGGAAAGACCAGAAAGGCCAGAAAGAAGGGAATGAATTATACCCCAAGAGAGACTTCTAGCTTCAAATCAGAGTCTCATCCAAAGGGCTCGTGCTAGGAACCAAAACAACTGATTTCAAAGTCCCTACAGACTCCACTTTTTAATATTCCAAAGAACTGTGCTAGTATTGAGAATGGAAATCAATGATGCAGAGAAGATTCAGCTCACATCAGAGAGCTCGGAGGAGACAAAGACATCATCTTAGTAAGGATGTAACTTATCCTGGATATACTTATCTCTGGCAGAGCATGTTCCTCCTCCCTCTCCCTCTCATATTCCACAGAACACAGTGAAGAGTGCTGAACCTGGAGTCGTAGGACCTGGGTTCAAATCTCAGTTTTGCCGCTTCCTACCTAGGTGACCTTGAACAAGTAATTTTACTTTTGGGGGCTTCAGTTTCCTCATCTATAAAATGAGAGGGCTGAACTTGAAGATTCTATGGCTCTTTTAGCTCTAAAACTATGATACTTTAAAAATGCGGTTTGTTGATTTTAAGTACAACAAGCTCCATTAAAAATATATCCTAAACCTGTCTTCTACCTCACTTCCACAACATGTAAAAACAGTACTTCCATGCATAACAAGCGCTTAATGAAAATTTGCTGATCGATTTGTTCTAACAGCAGACCAGCCTTGGGCTAAGTAACAGAAGACAAGACCATTCCCAGTTTTTTGTGACAATCAGATCACGTTTTTCCACTTGATTCCCAAAGAAACAGCAATGGCCACACTTACCTGTCCTTCCTTCGCTCCCCTATCGATGCTGGGCTGATAGCAATCCTGGGCAGCGTGGAGAGTGAGCTCTGGGACTGGCTACTGGCAAAAGATGAGGTCTCTAGGTTCAGGGGCGACTGGGGAGGAGTGATCAGGCTAGGGCTGCTACATTCAGAGTGGGACAATGAACCTACACAGAGAGAGAATGATGGAACATTTCTTCTATGCTCAGTGGAATTCACAGCTGAGGGCGAACCCCATTGGTCAAAGCACGCAGCCTCCAAGAAGCTACGCTGGCTTCAGTGGTGTCCTTTTTTTTCCAATGGGCTCCTGGAGGTCACTATATAATGTGTACCACACAGGGCAGTTTTTCATCATTAGCCTGTTATCATTAGCTATTATTTCAAACAATATCCTCAACTAGACAGTAAACTGTCTGAGAAGAAGAGCTATGTCTCCTCTCTTTTTTACCCCCTCCTCATCCCAACCCAACTGTAAATGAATGGCTGCCCAACATCAGTTTAAAAAAATGTTTTTCTTAAAATCAGGAAACCCAGGAAAAGCAGGAAACAACAGGAAACAACAGGGAGAGAGAAGAAAGGAGATCCCCATCTTACCTCGGTCAGAGCCCATCACAGATCGAGGGTATCTTGGTGTTAATGGGATTTTGATGCGTTCCGTCCGAAACTGCAAGTTACTTGAAGATCCTGTTTTTTTAAATCACAAAGAGGTTTCACAATTCAACTCAACAAGCATTTCCTGAGCACCTACTATCTGTCACATAGGGTGCCTGACACTAGGAGGTAACAAAGACAAGAAATTTGAATTCCAGGAGGAAACACACACTCTTGCTCTGAAAGTCAGTATCCAAAGAAAAACAGCCCAGTGCCCCATATCTGTAACTTACAGGAAAACTACATTTGACTAAGTCTGATCCTGCCAATTCCCTCAAAATGGTCCAAATATTAAAAAAAAAAAACAGCATAAGGTGGACATCAAGAAAGAAAGAAATTTAACCCACTGTTCTGGAATAAATTATCCTAGCATCAAATGCTCTAAGGACAAGAACATTCAAGTCAAATCTCAACCCCAAGGGAAAAGAGCAGTTTTCCAAAGTATCAGGATAACTAGTTCTCTCTTTTGTCCCTGAAGGCCACAGAAGTTCAAATCTTAGCAAAGAGGTTGATGCCTACCCCCACCATTCACTGCAAAGAACAAATCCCCAACTCTTCCCATGCTCTCTCATTGGGCTGCTAGCTCACTTATTTACTCTCACATGCACATACTCAGGGATTTGGGGGGGAGGGAGGGGTTAATTTCCCTAAGACCTAGAGGAACACACTCTAGCTTTTCATTGGCTAACCAACCTGCCCAGCGACAAGTGACAAGGCAGAGTTGAAGTCTCTCTCTGACCAATCCTGAAATTTGTTCTCTCACCTGTCCTCTTCTAATCTTTCTTAGGTCAGCAGCTGGATCCTCTCTATGAATAACCTCACCGTAGTTTATGGTTAATAGCCAAATTCTCACCTTGCATCTATGATCAGGTAAATTATAGTTTGTCTCATAATAAAAAAAAAAGTTATAGTACCCATATTTCTCTAGTTATTTCTAAAAGTTCTCAAATTCTTCATATGCAACTCATCTACAACTCGTCACGGGCCAAGGAGCAACTTCAGGGCTCAGCATTCTCAGGCTTAACTCAGTAACTCCTCCATGGACCCTGGGGCAGGCTATGCCCCAAACAAGCAAACTGTCACCAGGCAAACTTAACTCCACAAATGCTTTACTCAGAAGCAGATAAGCCCCTTTTCATTATCCATCTTAAATTTCCACAGGGGTATAAAGGCCCCAGAAATACCTAAAAATCTTGGGGGAGAGATGCATGAGACATTACTCCTGCAAATGGTACACTGATCCTCAGACTGGCTTCATGAGCGCAGACAATCACAAAAGGAAACAGATCTGAATGCATGTGATATAAGTATATTCTGTTATTACACTGGCACACGGTCCTGGAAAAAATCCCATCTCCTCATCTCAGGAGAGGCAGCCACGTACCACCGTGGTCATTCTGTTTTGATCCACAAAGATATAAACAATCAAACAAAGAAAAATCCCATAGAGAAGGCAAAAATCTGCACAAGATACTAAATTTGGTGCATCTATTTACAAGGTTTCCTGGAAAGGGTCACAGAAGTCTACTTGCTAAAACCTTCAGGGACAAAAATTAAAAACTCTACTTGGAGATGTGTTTACCAAGTCGGGCACTAGATGGTAATGAGTTGGACCCATGAGAGGTTCTTGTCCTCGAGGTCTCTGCGTAGTCGCTGGAGTGCTTATGACTTAGGTCCAGGCTCAGGCGGCCCTGGTGTTGTGCGCTGCATGAAAAGCAAAGCGGTTAGGTGCTTCAGGACGACAGTCAAGGCTTCTTGCTGTTCACCTCTGACTCTCCGTCACCCCATCTGGGGTTTTCTTGGCAGAGATACTGGAGTGATTTGCCATTTCATTCTCCAGCTCATTTCACAGATGAGGAAACTGAGGCAAATAGGGTTAAGTGACCGGCTCAGGGTCACACAGTTAGTAAGTGTCTGAGGCAGGATTTGAACTCAGGAAGAGGAGTCTTCTTGACTCCAGGCCCAGTGTTCTATCCACTGCACTATCTACCTGCCCCTCTGGCTACAGAAGAAGCATTAACAGTCATAGGCCCCTAAAAGTCCTCTCTAAGATAGCAAAAGAGTTCCTGACATATGGGTCACGGTACAGGAAAAATTGGACTTAACATACTTTTTTGTCAATAACGTGTAAGTGACATTCCCAACTGCAAAGAGCTCTCCTTGAGCCCAAGTTTCCTTACTAGACAAACAAGAACGATAATCCTGCCCCACTTATCTCACAGGGTTCTAAGGATCAGTGCCAGCAGAGGTGAGAATGCTTAAAGATCGAGGTCTATAAAAATCTAATGTTATTACCATATAATGTAATACTGACTTTGAGTAATCTAGTGAAGGGCTGTACCTGACCCAATCAATGATTTTTCCCAGAATGACATAATTTCCCTGGTAGGTAGGCTTTGCTCCTCGACCTTCCAAACACAGAGATCTCTTGGAAGAAGAGTTCATTAAAACCACCCCTAACAGATTCTCTCCTTCCTATTCTTTTTAGTTTGCCTAGTCTATTCTGCTAGAACAGTAGATAATAATAAAAAATAATGACAGCAGATGACATCACATGGTGCCTTCAGGTGTACAAAGCAGTTTATATATAAACACTGTCTCCTTTGAGCCTCAGAATAACCCTGAAAGGTAAGAACTACAAGCACTATTATTCCCATTTTCAATACGGTGAAAACTGGGCTCAGATTGGTCAAGTGACTTAAGTTCACAGAGCTAGCAAGGTCAAGAGGCAGGATCTGAAGCCAGCTTGCTTCCCAGCCAGCTTTCTGTCCACTACCCCTAGAAATGGTAGCAAAGCAAAGCAACTCTTCTTGCCCAAGGACCTCTTTATAGTTGGAGGCAACAGCATGCATCTGTGACTATAAGGAGAGGCAGACAACTGGGAGGCAAAGGGCTTGCACTCACATCTTGGCCCATGGAATACTAGTCAATAGCCAATAAATATTTATTAAGCACCTACTACATACACTATGTTCCAAGTACTGTGCTCAGTGTGGGAACAAGTCTCAACCTCTGTGGTCCTTAAGTCTCCATCTGGCAAGGGAACCTCTCATGACCTCCTAAGTGCATACCTGGGATGCAAGTGCTGATGGTGCATCTGACTGGCAGCAGACTGGCAGCTGTTGGGGTGAACTCTATGGCTCCAAGCCGTGTAGATAGGGTTCCTCATGATGGCAGTCACTGCAGGGCAGGGGGCTAAATTCCTTGGAACAGTACCTGCAAAGGGTGCCAGAAGAAAAATTATCACTTCACAGCTTCCCTCTTCATTTACAATCACTCAGACTTCTCAGTAATGGTGATAACAGTAACAATAACAACAGCTGACACTTGTGTAACATTTCAAAGTTTAAAAGTTCTTTATAGACATCACCTAATCATTATTAGCATTAATGTAATTCCTGACCACAGGGGCAAACCCAGTCTTAGCTGGCCTCTCCTGCATCTCCCCATCTTTATTTTACTAACTTATGGCTAACTCTGCAGGGAGAAGAGTTCCAAGGGAAGGCTTGGGCTCTTAGGAGGTAAAGTCAGACAATGCCTCATTCTCTTACATCAGACTCCATTTTAAATTCATCACAGCTCTGATAGGATGAGAGTGCAATGTTTCATCTAACTTCTTTTAGAACAGTGATTTATCATTGTGTTGATCAGGGTTTCAAAGTCTTTCAAAGCTGTTTTCCTCTATACCACTGTTATCATTGTATAAATTGTTCTTACTCTGCTCATTTCACTCGGATCAGTTCATAAAAGTCTTCCCAGTCTTCCTCTGAAACTATTTGTTTCATCATTTCTTAAGGCACAATGATATTCCACTACATTCAGATAATTTCTTTAGTCATTCCCCAACAGGAGGATACCTCTTTAATTTTCAATTTTGGGATACCACCAAAAGCACTACTATAAACATTTTTCTACATAATTCCCTTTCCTCTTTCTTCAATTTCCTTGGGGTATAGGTCTAGAAGTAGTATAACTGGGTCAAAGGACATGTACTACTTAATAACTTTCTGGGCATAATTCCAAATTGCTTTCCATAATGGCTGGATTAAAACAGCTTCACCAACAGTGCACTAATGGGCCTATTTTCTCACAGCCCCTCCAGCAGTTGTCATGGCCAGTCAGACAGGTTGAGGTGGAACTTCAGAGTAACCATGATTGTTATTATTAATTATTGGGGATTCAGAGCTTTTTTTTCATATGGTTCTCACTCTTTTTCAAGACAGCTTAAGACCCCCAAGGTCTTACTTCTAACATGCAGGTAAAATATCCAAGATCTCTTTCTCTTAATTGACCTTAATAGTCAAGAGAAGAAGACATGATAGAGAGAACCTAATTAGGAGTTTGATTATTTGAAATATCACAGGGAATCTGAGACTCTCGAAGTTTGATGGGACTTAAGAGGGCATCTACTCCAACCTATCCCAGCAGCTGAGTTTATACAAGGTTGGAAGCCTTGGATATCAGGGTTGCCCTAAAACCACACAGCACTGTATCAGCCAAAAGGAGGAAGGGGGACAATGTATCTCAAGTGCTCACCATTTAACTTGTGCCTGATGGGAAAACCATGTTAACTCCAGAACTTTCTTTCTAGCCCCTGAACCTAGCCACCACAGGACATTTTTTTAAATTATTATTATTTTTCAATTAATAAGCATTTATTTTCTCTCCTTATCACCCCTATTCCCCAAAGAAAATCAAGACTCCTGAAACAAACATGCACAGTCAAGCAAAACAAATTTCTCCATTAATCACATCCAAAAATATGTCTCATTCTACATTTTGAGTCCATCACTTCTCTGGCAGGAAGTTGGCAACATGCTTCATCATCAGTCCTCTAGAATCACGCCTGTTCATTATGTCAATCAGAATTCTTAAGTCTTTCACGATTGGCTTTGTTATTGTCTAAACTGTTCTCCTGGTTCTGCTCACTTCACTCTGCATCAGTTCACACAAATCTTCCCAGACTTCTCTATAACCATCCCTTTCCTCATTGCTTACAACACAATAGAATCCCATTACAGTTATATATATATATATATACCAAAATCTGTTCAGCCATTTCCCCAATTTATAGCCATCCCCTTAGTTTCTGGTTCTTTGTAAACACAAAAAGAGCTGCTATAATATTTTTGTACATCTGGGTCCTTTTCCTGTTTCTTTGATTTCTTTGGGGTAAAAAACTAATATTGCTGGGTCAAAGGGGATGCACAGTTTAATGACTTTGGAGGCCATAATTCCAAACTGCTTTCTAGAATGGCCAGACCAAGTCACAACTCCATCAACAATTCATTAAGGGGAAAAAAAAAACCAATTCATTAAGGAGAAGGGAAAGGAATAAGCATTTTTACAGCGCCTATTACGTGCTAGGTACTGCACTAAATACTTTACAAACAATACCTCATTTGATCTTCACGATAATTCTAGGTTGGTACTATTATTATCTCCATTTTACACTTGAGGAAACTGAGGCAAATAGAGATGAAGTGACTTGCCCAGGGTCACACAGTTACTGTCTGATCTGAACTCAGATCTTCCTAACTCCAAGCCTAGGATTCTTTCCATTACACTACCAGTTGCCTTATCTTGTGTGTTTTTCCATAGATCCTCAAGTGTTCATGATTTTCCTTTTTTGTCAGCCTTGCCAACCCGATGGTTGAGAAGTAGAACCTGAGTTATTTTAATTTGCACTTCTCTAATAATTAGTAATTCAGAGTATTTTTAATATGGCTATTGGTAGCCTGGATTTCTTCCTCTTGAAAATTGCCTATTCATATCTTTGAATAGGAGAATGGTTCTTATTCTTACTAATTCAACACAGTTTGACTTGTTGCAGTCAAACTTGCTGCAAAGACTCCCTCCCTCCCCCACCCACCCAACATCCTGCTTCTTTCCTAATTTTAGCTACATTGGCTTTCTTTGTGCAAAAACTTTTTAATTTTATGTAATCAAAATTATCCATGTTACTTCCTGTGAACCTCTCTATCTCTTCTTCGCTCATGAACGCTTCCTCTCTCTATAATCTGACAGGTAATTTCTTCCATGCTCCTCTAATCTGTTTATGATATAACTCATGTCTAAACTGCATATGCATTTAGAGCTTGTCTTGTTATATGTTATGAAATTTTGATCTATACCCCGTTTCTGCCAGACCACTTTCCACGTTTGTCACAGTTTTTTCAAATAATGAGTTCTTGCCCTGAGAGTTGGGATCTTTGAGTTTATCCAAGTTCTGGTGCTCTTTTGCTTCTGTATATTGTGTGCCTAATCTGTTAATGTAGATATACTGTAAAAAGAGAAATCACAAAAATTTAAAGTAAATATGAAGGACAAGGGAGTGTTATCTTTCAGGCGCCTGGGCAGTTCTCAAAGAGGCTGCTGACTAAAAAGAAGGATAACTTCCTCTTTTAGTCTGTGCCTGGAACATGGTGTCCTTTCCTCCACGGTCCCAAAAACACTCACCTGCAGATACTCCACCAGAGTAGATAGGGACAAAGCCATCACTGTGCCTGGAGGACCGCTTCGGAGAGTAAGGGATCCATTCCTGGACCTCTGGAGTGAAGTGTTCATCAGGGGCTGGAGTGTATTTCTGTGCCTAGAAACCAGGGATAAGAGATATTCCAGTGGAGCCAAGGAATGATGGAGTGTAGGCTTATAAATGTAGTCCTTTCCCCCTACAAAGCCAGAATGCTTTCTATATGGTGGCTCTGATCTAGGTCATGATTATTCCATATCTGAATGGGCCACCTAAGCTTTACTCCTAGGGTGTCAAAGACCTGGGTATGCGTGGTTTTCAGGATTGGAGAAAGATTTCAGAAAATAAGGTCCTAAGCCAGAGAACATCTGATGAAAGAAATGTACTAATACAGCTCAACCTTATTCTTGTTTGAATGGCCCTTTCTGGGACTGAAGGTCCATGGAGAGGTAATTTGTAACACAGGGCCATTAGACCCCTCCTGACCCCCATCCCAACTTCCTGAACTGGAAGAGGTGGCAACCGACTTTACAAACACTGAAGAAGAAAGTAGAACAGGAAAGAGACTTTAAAAAAAAATCCACTGACTGTGAAAGGGGAAAAGGAAGGGGCAAAGGAAAGTGGAGACAAAGGAGAAGGGGGGACAGAAAGGAAGAGAAAGGAGGAGAGGGTGGAGGAAAAAAAAGGGGGGGGGAGAAGAGGGAAGCGAAAAGTAAAAGCATACTCCACACAGCCACCAAAGTGATAATCCTAAAGTACAAGCATGACAATGTCATGCCTCTGCCTGCGATATTTCAGTGTCTCCCTCTTGCCCCTGCGATCAGATACAAATTCCTCTGATTGTTAAGCCTTCCACAATATGGCCTCGGTCTGCTTTCTAGGCTTATTGCATTTTGCTTTCCTTTCTGAACTCTACCTACTTTCCGGCTATACCAAACTGCCTGCTGTTCTTCCATCTTGGAACAGGTTATCTCCCACGCCTGGAGGGTATTCCCTCCTCCTTCCAGCTCTTAGAATCTGTAGCTTCCTTTGAAGGCCACTGCAGATAAAACCTCCTACATGAACTATCCTGATCCTCTGATTCTCTTCCCCACAATCGTTACTTCTCGCCCCAGAAAAATTACTTTTATATAGTTTATACTTAATTTTCTATGTAAATCCTACCCCCCCAATAGAATGTAAGCTCCCTGAGGACAGGGATCATTTAATTCTTCTTCTTTGTATCCTCAGTGCCCAGCATATAGTAGGTGGTCAATAAATTATTGTTAAATGGATGGGGGAGGAGTAGAAGGAAAGAGGGAAAGGAAGGGGGAAGAAGAGGAAAGGAAAGTCAGGAGAGGAGGAACAGAAGGAAAAGGGAGAGGGGAAGAAGGAAGGGAAAAGGAACAAGCAATGATGCAAACATATGTTAACTCAGTCAGTCAGTCAGTCAAGAACCACCAGGCACCTACACTGTGCTAAGTACAAATGAGAATACAGCATGAGTTTGTTCTGAATTTTTCATCTGGTTAAAAAGACAACTCTGGCTCATTTTTTTGTTTTCTTATCTGTCTGTTCCCTAAACCACAGCACTTCTCTTCTCTACTCCTCTTGACACTCTGGTATATACTGGCATATCATTATTTCTTTCACATATGGACATTTTAACTCCCCAACAAGACTATAAAATACAAACTGCTTGAGAACAGGAATTACGTCTCTTTCCATCTGGCCCATCGCAGGGCCTAGCCACCTTCTCTAATTATTTGCCATACACAATTAATCACTTCCTTCCATTAACACACAGGGTGACCAAAACAAGGTTTTCATAGCTTCTAAACAGCACTAAGACTTTTTCGAACACCCTGTGTACAATTATGATGTTTGCCATCTCGTTCCCCTTTAGACTGTTTTAAAATCTAGAGGCAGGGATTCTGTCATCCGTCTTGGTATTTCCTCCTGCTGTGTCATACATACATCTTAGCTGTTCGATGACTACAGAATTACAATGCTCACTAAATGTTTCCAAGCCATCAGAACTACTGTCAATTAAACAGTTGTAACTTTCTTGAGAGCTTCAGTCATCATGCCTTAACAACACTTTTCTTGGCACCGACCAAACTGAATGACTGACAGTACACTCACCATAGTCATTTCTCAGCTCTCCTAGGAGAACGACACTGGGGCAAAGGACCATTTTTGTTACTCCTTAACATTCCATCACCACATGCAGTGCCGTTCTCCTGTTTTCAAGGGAGCCGGCAACACGTTCATGTGGCAGTCAGGGATGATTTCAGACACAGGGGTGGATTGGTTGATGGCTACACCTGAAGATCATGTCCCTCTTCTGTCCCCATCCTCCAATTAGAAGCCCAAATCCCACCACTGGATTCCACATCATTTAAAGAGTCTGCTTGTCCATTGGCATCTACTCTTCTCTGCTGGTCAAGTCAAACAAGTAATAGCAGTCCAGAACCTGAATCCCCAGTACAGTCCTAGTGAGTGCACTAGGCCTCCTTACCCGCCACCACCCACATGCCCACCCACTCATGGCCAGTCTTTACCTGAAGTGACTGGTTAGGAATGGTTACTGGGGTGAGTTTATGCCGAAGAATCGGCGCCGATTTGGGCCGGGGTCGCTTCAGATCTGAATCATCCCCTCTCTGGAAACTTCCATCTTCTTCACAAGCTTTCCTCCCAGGCAAGAGTGCACAGTCCCCTTCCTCTTCCCGGTAGTAGTGCCCAGAAATCCGACCCCTGCCCTTGTGGGGTGGGGAGTTTTGTTTGAGCCCCAGAGGGGCTGGGGCAGAGGGATGGATAGCTGGTGGGCTGGTGGAAGGAGAGCTGGGGACCAGTGTGGTCTCTGAACCAGAGCTATCCTGTGGTCTATGTTTGAACTTAATGGAGTCACTCCTCTTGGGAGGGGTGGGAGGAGTTGGGGGCCCTTCTGCCTTAGAGGACTGAGGAGAGTGAGCAGGGGCAGGGCCTGGGGAGAGGTAATCTACTTTGGGAGGTGTCTGGGGGCGCTTGAAGGTGTCTGGGTCAAAAATTGACTTCCTCTGCTTTGGTTTCTTGTAGACAGAGAATTTCTCTGTCTCTGCTGAAGAGGCATTGACCATAACCTTGGGCCAGGTCCCACCACTGTGTTTCATCCCTGACCCTGCCTCTTCCAATGTGGATCCTACCAGGACACAGTCCCCAGTGACAGTGTCAAAGGGAGGCAGCATCCTCCGACTGCCCAAATTCACCAGTCCATACCCACGCTCCCCATAGGGGTCCGAGCTAAAGGAGCTGAGGCTGTGTTCTGAGGCACTGTGACAGCTCCGATGAGAATCAACCACCTGCAAGGGCCCTCGGGGGAAGGGCTTGTGTTCACAGAAGGAGCCCCCACTGCTCCCCGGGGTACTCGGGTCCTTCTTGTCCTCCAGGCCCTCCAAATGGAAAATGTCCGTCTGCGTGGAGCTATTGTGCTGCGTCAGGTTCCGTTTATTCTGAACCTGGACCTCGGACCCGTGGAACCTACAGTTCAACACTCTCTCCGAGTCCTTGAGATTCTCAAAAATATTCTGACCACTCCATGAAGAGCTCTGAGGGAACACCTAGGAGGCCCCAAAGGCAGGGAGGAAAGAGAACATTCAGATCACGGTGTGGCAAGGACCAGCATTCAACTCAACTGCTTAGGCAAAGAAGGCTGCAGCAATGATACCTGACGTTGATACAGCACACTGAGACTTACAAAGCACTGTACCAACATTATTACAGGACTCAGACCTTCTTACCCCATAGACATACAAGATTAACCATGGGACAGCAACAACAAAAAAAAAAATCCCCTCTCTGTCCTCATGAACATCTCCAGAAAGCCTTTCCAAATTTTTTTTTAACAATTTTTTGGAGACTGGGACTGGGACTTCCTAACCATTCATGGGCCCAACTGTACTGCTTATCAGCAGCACAGTTTTGGCAGCTCTGTCTCCAACCCAGGTCAGTCCCACCCTCCTGGGGCAGACTGTCAGACAGCAATAGTTTGAACACTGGGTCAGCTCTAGCCTTTTCGTAACCCAAAACTCTCAAAGTCAATCAACACCCCAACCCCAGCAGCAGGGGCTACAGGCATTCGCCATCACACCTATGTCTTTAATCAACACACACACACACACCCCTTGTAAAAAAGAATCAAAAAGAACATCGTGACAGCAAAGACCTAGGAACAAAGTATACACTCATTGATGGGAGAATGATGCATGAGTATCATGAATATTGCTGTGCTACAAAAAATGATAAATGTGATGACTGCAGAGAAACATGGGAAGACATACACAAAGTGACGGGACAGGAACTGGGAAGACAAAGCTACACAACTGACTTTAACAGCATAAACATAAAGCACAACAAAACAATCAAACCCAAAGGCTGTGAAATCATAATGCCCAAGCCTGGACTTGCTATGCTCCTTCAACAAGTGCTATGAGAATACAACACTAGGTACACTGTCAGATTTGTTTTCAATATTATTGTTAATTTACTTAACTTTTCTTTTCTTTTCTTTTATTCTTTTTTGGGATTATGGGATTATGGACCTAGATCTCAAAGATCATTATTATAAGAGATGGCATGGCTAAGGGATGAGGGGGAAGAAGGGGATTGGAGACAGTGGAAAATACTGATCATTTGAAAAAAATTTAAAAAAATAAAAAACCTAAGATAAAAAAACCTAATCAACACATCAGTCAAATCTCACAGTACATGCAATTATCCATACCTATAGTCCCCCACCTCTGTAAAGAAGGGAGAGAGGTATATTTTCTCTTCAATTCAATTTACAAAGAGTTATTTAACATCAACACACAAGGCTCCAGGCTAGGCACTCAGAAAAGAAATTGTACAGTCCCACCTCCTAAACAGCTTACAGACTGGTAGGGAGGGGGGAGAAATACAAGAGTATTCTCTTTTTGAGAATACCTACAGATGTAGGTAAACATACCAGCATATCAGGTACAGTGAGATGGGGCCCAAAAAAAGAGACTGAGACAAGGTATCAAGAACACTTTATCCTGGCAAGATCAATGAAGACTTCACAGAGGAGGTGACTGCTCAGGTGGACCAGGGTGGAGAAGGCAGAGAAGGAATGCATTTCAGGCACAGGACAATCTGTGCAAATGCATTTGCTAAACTGCATAAAGCTGGAAAGGAAGGACGAATGCAGACTGGGAAGGTACTGAAATGCCAAGATAAGGAGTAATAGGGAGCAACTGAAGGTTTTTTGAGCAGGAGAAGTGTCATCAAACCTGTGCGTTAGAAAGGTGACTAGGAAGTGATTAAAATATTCCAAATGAGAAGTAACAAGGTCCCAAACTACGAAGGTAACAGCGTGGGAACTTAAGAAATGCTTGTTAAATGACTAATATGAAAATGTTTTACATGATCAAACATATATAACCTATATCAAATTGCTTATCATCTTAGGAAGGGGGGAGGTGAGAGAGGGAGGGAGAAAATTTGGAACTCAAAAGTTTTTTCTTAAGGAATGTTAAATTTGTCTTTATATGTAATTGAAAAAAATAAAATGCTATATAAAAAAGAAATGTTTGTTGAATGAATAAACGAGAGAAGAAAAACAAAAGAGATTTTAAAAGGTAATAGTGCCTGTAGACACATGCAAAGTGAAGTTCAATCCCTGTTTTGGCCTCACAGAGTAACCTTCTGCCTCTGCCCATAACCCAGAAGAGAAGCCTGCATTTATAGCTCTTTACCTTCATTAGTGAGAGGGTCAAGGAATCCCGGCAGTTCCGGAGTAGGGATTCACATTCAGTCAGAGATTTGTTATCTAGTGCAATGCCATTAATCTGGAGAAGGAGAAATGAGACAGGATTGGCCACAAGAGAATCCTCTGAAACGCCCTATACTGACCAGAAGCAAACACAGAGCTATTAAGTCACTCAGTTAAACCAGCTGGTATGAAGGCATCCTCTATCCTGTTCTAGACTGGAAGCAGCCCAAGGGCATTGTCTTGGTACAGCACCACGGACAGTCTCCAAGGGACATGACGTACACGTGTGTGTGTGTGTGTGTGTGTGTGTGTGTGTGTGTGTGTGTGTGTGTGTGTGTGTGTGTGTGCGCAGACAAGGATTCCCATTTATCCTTACAGCCATACTATTCCCTTCCAGGAAATGTAATACACCTGACCCCTCCATAATTATGAAACCAAGAATTCTATCCACAAACGGGGTGAGTCCACTCTAAATTCTCACAGAGATAAGCTGTTCTAACCCTTATTTCTTTATATATGAGGGGTTAGCGAAGAACAGTAAGCATATTCAAGGTGCATGGGTTCCTAGTGATTGGGTTGTTTTTCTTTTCCCAGATGTAGTTACATTGTCCATTTCGGCAGACAGCCCCCTCAGGCTTTCTGCATTTGACTTACAGCAATGATCCTGTCTCCCACTGTAAGGGATCCTTCTTTAGCAGCAGGGCTTCCTGGAACAACAGCAGCAGCAAACACGCCATGCTCCAGGCTGATGCCACTCTCTGGAATCCACAGAATAGAACTAGAATGCACACAGTCCTCAAATCCGGGGCCTCTTCCCAACCCTTGCCTGACATCCCACCCCCCTCCACTAACTTTACTTTCTTCAGTTCTTTAAAAGGGAAAAGGGATATTCAAAAGAGAAAATAAGCAAGACTCAAGCACACACTCACCAAATCTCAATTCAGTCAAGTTAAATACAACATCACCAAGGCCTGAGATGATCCAGTTAAGTGAAAATGTCAGGTAACTCAAGTTTATGACTTCAGGCAGCAGCCTTTTTGAAATTATTTTAAGATTATAAAATATAACGGCCAGAAGGGACAAGCACAGGGACAGAGACCGGGCCTGTTGTTCCACTGGTACTGGAAACTCCTGTTTTGGTGAAAAAACTACCTCTACTCACACAGGTTGCCACCTTCACTGTGACCCCTATATCTGCCTCTTTTAACTCCGGCTTTCCTAACTGTCCTCTAGAACCTGTATGGGTTCATACTCACTTTCCTAGCTTTCTGTCTCTTATTTAGCTTATTCCTGCCTCTTCCAAATCCCCACACTTTACTGTCAAACTTTTTCAATCTCTTCCTTCCTTCTGCCTCTTGGAAATAACTGAAATCTGACTTTGCCCTAAGAACACCACAGCCTTTGCCTTCCTGTCCAATGAGGATGGCTTCTTCTCCCAATTCCTGAGCTTCCCCCACAATACAAAGGGACAGGAAAAGGAGTCAACATTCACCTTGGCAGGTCCAGGTTGAAAGAGAGGGCCTCAAAGGTCCCTTCTATTTCTGTGACTCTGGGATCAATGTTCGCTTTTGCGATTTCCAGATCTTTGGTTTTTCTTTTTTCTTTTTCTTTTTTTTGTCTTTCTTTTTTAAAAAAAATTTATTAATTTATTTTGATTTATCAACAATCACTTCCATATGCTTCTGAGTTTAAAATTTTCCCCCCCTTCCTCTCCACCACCCTCCCCAAGACGGCGCACAATCTGATATAAGCTATACATTTACATTCTTATTAAACATATTTTCACATTAGTGAAGTTGTAAGTAAAAATTAAAACCAATAGGTGGAACCATTAGAAAGAGGAAACAAAACTCAACAGAAGAGAAAAAACAGTAATTCAACTTTCATAGTTCTTTCTTTGGATGTGGATAGCATTTTCCATCACAAGGTCTCTGGAGATGTCTTAGCAGATCTTTGGTTTTTCTACTATCACTCAAAAACCTCGATTCCAGTCATTCCCCAATTGATAAATGGTCAAAAGATATGAACAGGCAGTTCTCAGATGAAGAAATTAAAGCCATCTATAGTCACATGAAAAAATACTCTAAATCACTAATGATTAGAAAAATGCAAATCAAAACAACTCTGAGGTACCGTATCATACCTATCAGATTGGCCAACATGACAAAACAGGAAAATGATAAATGTTGGAGAAGATGTGGGAAAATTGGAACACTAATGCACTGTTGGTGAAGTTGAAAAATGATCCAATCATTTTGGAGAGCAATTTGGAACTATGCCCAAAGGGCTATAAAAAGGTACATACCCCTTTGACCCAACAATAGCACTTCTAGGGCTGTATCCCAAAGAGATACAAATGGGAAAAGGATCCACATGTACAAAAATATTTATAGCAGCTCTTTTTGTGGTGGCAAAGAATTGGAAATTGAGAGAATGCCCATCAATTGGGGAATGGCTGAATAAGTTGTGGTGTATGGAATACTATTGTGCCATAAGAAATGATGAAGAAGTAGACTTCAGAAAAACTTGGTAAGACTTGTATGAACTGATGCTGAGTGAAGTGAGCAGAACTAGGAGAATGTTGTACACAGGAATAGACACGTTGTGCGATGACTAATGTTGGTAGACTTAGCCCTTCTCAGCAATGCAAGGATCTAAGACATCTCCAAAAGTCTCATGATGGAAAATGCTATCCACATCCGGAGAAAGAACTATGGAGTTTGAATGCAGATCGAAGCATATTGCTCTTTTTTTTCCTTCTGTTTTGTTTTGTTTCCTCTTTCTGGTGGTTCCTCCTATTGGTTCTAATTCTTCCTTACAATATGACTAATGTGAAAATATGTTTATAGGAAGGTATATTAATAGCCTATATCAGATTAGATGCTGTCTTGGGGAAGGAGGTGGGGAGGGATGGGGAGAAAAATTTAAAACTCGTGCCATTCTGTTAATATCATTCTCTCCTAACCCTCACCCCTATATTATACTCACCTCTAAGAGACTTTCCTACCTTCCTCAATGGACATCACTGCCTGGATAACAGTCTTTCTTTCCCCCCCCCACCGGCTATAAATCTTTGGTTGCTTGATGACCCTTCTAGAACCACCCTGGCCATTCCACTTTAGCTATCCAAAAATGGTCAGCTCTACCACCAGCATCCTGAAATGGAAAAATCTCCAACTTTGACCATAATCTCCTACCTTTCCCCGCCCCTGCTCCAAGAATCTCACTCTTGTATCTGCTCACTGCCTCCATCTTTATTTTCAGTTCCTTGATCACCACCCCAAATCCTCATGCCTTCATTTCATCACTTCTGTTGTAGTTTTACTTTCCTCCCTCCACAGCCTTAAGCTTATGGTAGGAAATTCAACTCAGCTGTCTCTTCTATCTTTAAACATCTCACTTCTTTGCCACCCCCTCCCCTTCCACACTTCAAATCCCCAACCCTATGGAACCCCTACCACATACATCTAGCTTCTCTGTTCCTACTCAAGGTGCTAAGGGCAGCTGAATGAAGGAAATCACACAGATGTGCTGCATGGGTCGGCTACAAAGTAATGCTCTCTAACTACAATTCGATGTGTGAACAGTTATCCTTTTGGTTCAATTCTACCCTAAGTACTCTCTCTCTCAATCGATTAAAAAGGACTGATTGAGTGTCTACTGTGTGCCAGGCACTGAACAAGGCTCTGGGAATACCAAGCTTCATTCTGCTCTCAGCTCTGCTTCTGGTCCCACACAGGTACCTCCACCCCCACCCCGCACACATGCCTAACCTATTGTATTCCCCCCCATTAGGACATAAGCTCCTGTCTTTTACGTTTGTATTTGCATCTCCAGCATTTAGCACAGCGCATGGCAAATAGTAAGCATTCAATAAATGATTGCTGTCTGCCTACGTATTGAATTAAACTGCCAGATGATTAAGTTTACTCATGTCCAGACCCCCAGAGCCTACCTGCAATAAAGTGGAGGGTTACTGGGCAACCCTTACTTCCCCACCAAAAAAATTAAAAATCTTATTCATTAATTGGAAGCATGACGCAGAAACAATATGCCAACTATGTTTACTGGTCTATAAATGAATGCTAGAAACTCACCAGGTGAAACATCTCTCTTAAGTGTGTTACCTTCAACAAGTCATTTAAAGATAAAATAACAGAGACTGGATTAATCCAGGGGTTCTTAACTTTTTGTTGAATTTGTCTGTATGGGCAAGTCAATGGACTCCTCAGAATAATGTTTTTATATGAATAAAATAAAATGCATAAAATTTTAAAGGGGATGAATTCTACTGAAAACAGCTTTTTAAAATATTTTAATTGAAAATTATAAAACAAACAAGGTCACAGATTCCAAGTTAAGAACCCCTGGACTGGATAATCTCTATGTCGTGTTCTAGTTCCAACAGTCAATGGTTCTATGCTTTCAATAAGTCAAGTGGGTCTTAGTGTATGTAGAGAGCCCTGTCATGACTCCAATATAACATGTCAGCCCCACTCTCCTGTGTCTCCTAAAGCCCCTAAACTGTTACCTTTGTGTCCAGCCAGGTTAATGTGGAGTGGTGTTATCACCTTCCCTCCCAGGGACTTCCTTCTCCGGACCACCATGTTAATGACCCCTCCACCACTGAGAACAGCCTTGACCACCTGCTTCTTGTCCTTGTTGGTAAGGTCCACATCATTGATTCTGAGCAGCCAATCATTCACTCTGGCAAGGGGGCAACATTAAATCATCACCAACTGAGGCCTGGGAAGCAGATTTCCCTCCGCCCCCATTCATCTCCTCCCCCCAGTTCAGGCAGATTTTAACCTCTATGAAAGAGGTACACATCTCCTAAGTACTCTAACGTGAACAATGCCTTCCTATTCTCTACTGGAAAAGAGACAGCCAGACATTCAGCCCACCTAGTGTCTACCAGAAAATTGGGTAGAAGGAGAGAGCGGAAGGTGGGTGCCATTTGACAGGCAGGTAATGGAGACCATGTATCTCCTTAAGAAAAAAATGATGGGTTTGCATCTTTGCTGAAAAAGGAGAATAGGACAGAAAGAGGAAGAAACAGACTTCTAGAAGTCACTAAGGTCCTAAGATTTATTTTTGTACATCTTCTTTGGGTCAGCATGGACTCAAACTGAAGATAGGAATCTTGAGTTTGGCAAAGATTTTAGTGTTTCTACCCCTGGCCTCCTCCCCGCCATGCCTGCCTCATTGTCCTCACATCCTCAAAAGACCACAGACTAACCCATTCCCGTGTTACCTTAATCGACCATCCGCAATGCTTCCCTTGTCTACTTTAGTGACAAAGATGCCACAATCCCCAGGGAGGTAGGGCTCATTCACACCTTCTGCCACATCAAATCCCAGCGCCTTCAAATCCATATCCTCCTATGGGAAACAGCGACAGAGCGTGACGCATGGCACAGCCAGGAGAAGCCCGTCTCAGAAAGTGTAAGTTGGCACCAACCCAAACCCACAGGCTTAGCGGGCACTCCTCCTCCTCCCTCTCTGTTCCCATCCGACTCTGCAAAGCCATCCTCAGTGCCTGCCACTCAACAAGGCTGCTTTAGTCACAGTCTTCTAGACTATTAATTGAGGGAAGGAAGGGTAGCACTGGACACTAGAGAGAGCCCTGGATTCAAAGTCACCACTGGTTCCAATGTAAGTTCTGCATATTATCTGTGGGGACTTGAGAGTCATTTAATAACTCTGGGTCTCAACTGCCTTATCTATGAAAATGAACTACATGACCTCAGGTCTCTCCCAGCTCTAAGATTATGAGCGTCTAACTCTAATTCATTTGACCACACAGCATAATAGAGGCTCTCTATCTCGCTTCAACATGACTGAGCTAGCTGTTTGCACAAAAGGTGATCACAAAGAACTCTTTTACTTACTCAAGGACCGTGGCTTAAATGGAGAAGGCAGAGTAAGGGGACCCTGTGGACTACACTTTACCAGGTCTTACCTGGCTACACATCTTTTGATGGCTTGACCAAGTTTTTAATCTTTTTTTTTTTAAACTTGGAGAAAATTCCGTCTCTCATACATTCTATCCACATGTTCTTACGGTCCAATCATTTCATTTACTAACATTTGCTCCAACCTGCCCTCTTTTGTAATGCCTTCAGCAATAGATGTCAGAAGCTGTGAAATACTCAGGAGGACAGCATAAGCTTTTGCTACAGATCATAGTAAAGAAGAATTCATGGTACAGTGGATGGAGAGCCAGCCTCAAAACCAGGAAGACCAGAGTTTGGGTCCTGACTGAATCACACTGGCTATATGACTTTGGGGGAATCACTGAATCACTTAGTGCTCCAAACTAGAGAGGGCACTAGATTAAAATGTAATAGAGATGGGGAGCTAGGTGGCACCGTGGATAGAGCTCTGGCCTTGGAGTCAGGAGAACCTGAGTTCAAAACCAGCCTCAGACACTTGACACTTAGCAGCTGCGCGACCCTGGGCAACTCACTTAACCCCAACTGTCTCACCAAAAAGCAAAAAAAAAAAAAATATTTAACAAAATAAGTAAAAATACAATACAACACAGATAACATGTGGTTTTCTAAGTCAAAATGTGGGCAAGCAGGGAACCCTTCCTTTCTGTTCTAAGTAACTCTCTACAACTACAAGTAACAGAGAAGGGCCTGACCTATATTGCGAGAGGGAATTTCCTCCCTTCAAAGTTCCATATGTTTATGAAATCACAGGTACAGTCCATTATCCTTATCCCTAATAATAAAGAAAACCTGAATTTACTCCCTTCAATCCCCAAGGAAAATGTAAATTATATCAAGAACAACTGAATGTCTAACCCAAATGACTGCCAAAGACCTAGCTGTGTCTCCTTGAGAAGATGCTTCCAGATCCCCCCAGCCTAGACCACAAACCTGTTGGAAGGACAGGGAAAGGGAACAAGCATTTGTATACAGTCCCTATTATATGTAAAGCATTTTACAAATTTATCTCATTTGATCCTCACACCAAACCTGCGAGGTAGGTGCTGCTATTACTTCCATCTTACAGCTGAAGAAACTAAGGCCAACAGAGGTTAAGTAACTTGACGAGGATCCCACAGCTAGTAAAGTGCCCAAGGCTGCATTTGAACTCGGGTCTTCCTGACTCCAAGCCCAACACTTTATCCACTACACCACCTAGGTGACGCTTTCTGGGAAGAAGACAGTTAAAGCCAACTTACTCTGTCCTTTTCAAACTCCACTATTTCTGTTTCCCACTCCATAGAATCCGTGTCGATGGCCGAATCATGGGAACTATGCGCCATCAGCTGCCGGAAACGCGCTTCCTTTTCCAGCTGGTTCTCCATCTTTTCCCTATGGAAAGAGAGAGTTTTAGAGCTGAATTTCTAGACAGCAGAGTCATCTTCCTGCCTCCTCTACTGCCAAATCATGGCAAGGTTCTCCCGTGGCATCTCAAAAGCCTAAAATCATCCATTAAAACTAAAAGGCAAAAAGGAAGCCCCCACAGATGCCCAACAGCTGTTTATAGGAGCAAAGAAAAAAGAAGACAGTCATCAGCGGGGAAACAGCTACACAAATTACTGTGCATGCATGTGATGGATTTATTACTGTGCTCTAAGAAAAGACAAGTCTGATTGTATGCAGAGAAGCACAGGAAGATTTACCAAGTGAGACAGCGTGAAGGAAGCAGAACCAATAAAACAATATGTGCAGTAACTACAAGGTAAATGAAAAGCACCACCAAAAAAAAAACACCAGAAAACAAACATTGCAAAATTACAAAGATTATACATAAGAAGATGTGTGAGAAGACACGTGCCCTTCCCCCTTCACAGAAGTGGAATGCCCCCAAGTATGGAATATTGCACATATTTTCAGACTTTTAAAAATGTATTATTAGTTTTGCTGGGGGGTTTTTCTCTTCTTCCTCTTTTTCTTTTTTCTTTAAAAAATATTTTTTGTTGTAAGAAATGACTCTCTGGTAGAGGGAAGGAACAGGGACATTGTGACATTGACAGGTTCAATGACCTGCCCAGGGGCACTCTGTCACTGAGTTATAGGCAGATCCCAAGGCATCCTGACTCTAATACTAGCCTAGCACCCACTATGCCAGGCTCCTCTTTTGACAATCACAGGTATGGAAATCTCCAATAATACACTGGCCAAAACATTAGCAACTCTTTTCTGTAGTGTTCAAGGCCCTCAGAGGGCCTTCCCCTCAGAAGGGAGAGAAGAGGGGAAGAGGAGGAGGAGACATTTATATAATGTGTTAAGATTTGGAAAAAAGCACATTATTTCATTTTGACCTTTTCAACAATCTTGTGATACAGGTACTATTATTAGCCAGTTTTGCAGGTGAAAAACCAAGACTCAGATGTTAAGTGACTCCGGTGGGATTTAACCCACGTCTTTCCAAGCCCCGAGTCCAGGGTGCTATCCACTATTCTAAGCTACCTCTCAAATTGACCCCCAGTATCAAAAGGAGAAAGAGTAGAAATCCAGCATTTTCACCTGCCCTATGGATTAAGGGGAAAAGGAAAAGTGAAAGGGACCTTCCTGAGAGCAGAGGCCAAGCCAGGAAGGGACTAAAAATCCAGCCCTCTAGAACTGCAGTTAAATACAGTAACGTCCAGGCCTCAGTGAGTGCCCAAAGGCCTGCAGGATCCTGGGGAGGCACACCCACATACTTCAGCTCCTTAAGCTCTCTGCCAGCATCATTCTTCTGTTTCCTCATATCATCCAGGTTGCGCAAGGCTTCAGCCAGGTCACTCACTGCCCGGTCCCTCTCACGCCGTAGATTGTCACACAAGGTCCTGGAGGAAGAGAGTAAGAACAGGGAAGAGAGAAGGTGAACTCCGGGGACAAAAAACAGCACCTCTTTTCCCAGCCCACTGCGTGCTGTAGTGTAGTATGATAGAATATAAACTCCCTGAAGGCAATGGCTCTTTCATTTTTGGTTTTGTGTTCCCAAAGTCTATCACAGTGCTTGGCACACAAAAGGAACATAATAAATGCTTGTAAGTCAATTCATTAATGGAATTATACACCTCTGGGCAAGATGATATTTTTAAAGGAGAAGATCCCCTTATCCTGGAATATTCTAACCAAGTTACTTGGAAAGAAATTTTCCATTAACAACTATTTTCTTCCTCCCCAACTTGAAAAAAAAAAAGACAAAATTCTTAGAACAAATACAAGTGGTCAAGTAAAACAAATTCCTGCACTGGCCAGGTCAAAAAGCAAATGTCTCATTCTGTATCATCACATCATCAATCTAAACGGATACACAGATAAGATCACATCATAAACAAGTGTGAGGAGCAAAAAAGAAATTACCTGCCAGGTCTTTGGATAGGGGAAGAGGTCCGTGGCCAAACATGAGATAGAAAGAATTACGGAGGATAAAATGGACAATTTTGATTACATAAATTAAAAGGGTTTTGCAAAATCTTTGCAAAAATAAAACAAATATAGCTGGAAGTAGAAAGGAAATCATTAACTGGGGAAAAAAACATTTGTGGGTTGCTTTTCTGATAAAAGTCTCATTTCCACGATCTATATATGGAACTTATTCCAATTTAAAAGACTAAGAGCCATTTCCCAATTTATGAATGGTTAAAGGGTAGCTTTCAAATAAAGAAATTCAAGTTATCAATAGGCACAAAAAAAAAGTGCCATATCACTAATAATTAGCAATGCAAATTTAAGTAATTCTAAGGATCTATTTCACCCATCAAGCCACATCTTCTAAGTGTCTGGGTTTTGAACCCATGTCTTTGAACAAAATTTAGCAATATATCTGTTAGATCACACTGCCAATCACCTCCAAAATTACCCTCCCCAAATTATTTATTGTCTGCAGGAGGCCTTTGTAATAACGCATCTATGGTCTAGGAGTGGTAAGAGAGAGCTAAAAAAGACCAATACATTCTCCCATTACTTCAATGACTTTATAAGAAGAGTTTACAGTTTCTTTATAAGATGGAAATGGGCTGAGGCGGGATCACATGGTGGTAAGTGGGGGAAGAGAGGCATAGAAGCAAGGACATATAAAACTGCTCAGTGAGGACAAGGGCTAAGGAGAGAATGTCCTGCCAGGCTCCCACCAGAGTCTTTATGCTTTGGGCAGGGCAGGGCCCAGAAAAGAGAAGACACGAATAAGCACCACTCTCTTCTACATTAACCATCAGTCATTAAAAGAACATCACCAGCTTGTGAATCAGCAAGGCGGGTCAGCAAAGGTAGAGGCCCACTCCTTCACTCTGGCTAAAAGCCGCAAGTATATTCACCCTTAAAGATGTTCTCGTAACTGCCCAGCTGCAAGTTGCCCCTTCCAAAGAGTAGCAACACCTAATGTTTATATGCAACTGGCTTGTGGACAAAACATTTTCTGCACATTATCTTGTTGCACACTTAGAACCACCTGGTAAAGAAGGGAGCATAAACATTATTTTCCCCATTTTCAAGATGAAGAACAATGATAATTAATAACTGGCATCTATTTAGCACTGTAATATTTATAATTATTTCATATAAATTATTCCATTCAAATCTCATCAGAATCCTCCAAGGTATGATCCTGGAGGACCAATGAAGCATGTTATCGACCTCCTGACAAAAAGGTGACAGACTGAAAGCAAAGAATGAGATGCCCAATGTAGGAATTTGTTTTGTTTGACTCTCCACATTTATTACAAGGGTTTTGGTTTTCTTTTTTTTTCAACTGGGGAAAGCAGAGGAAAAGGGGAAGGGAAAAAGGGAGGAGGAAAAGAAAACAATTTTTATTAATAACAAAGTTTAAAAATTTTAAATTCTACAAGGTAAATACCATTCTATCCCCATTTTACAGAAAAGAAAAATGAGATGAGAAAGAGGTTAGGTAACTTTCCCAGGGTCACACAGCTGGCAGATGAATGAAACTAGATTCAAAACCAGGTCCTTCTTTATTGCAAGTCCAGCACCCTGCCTACTACTCCACACTGCCTCACAGAAAGCTCAGAGAAAGGATTTCTCCAAGGTAACATGAGGCAGAGATACAATTCAAACAAATACAAAACACCCCATGTATGTAGAGTGCTTAAGAATTTTCCAAGTGTATTAACATATGGGGGGGTGGTGTTAGGTAATGGGGTTAAGTGACTTGCCCAGGGTCACACAGCTAGTAAGTGTTATGTGTCTGAGACCAAATTTGAACTCAGATCCTCCTGAATCCAGGGCCGGTGCTCTAACCACTGTGCCACCTAGCTGCCCCATGTATTAACATTTTTTATCTCACTAACATTGCTAGGAAATAGATAGATGGGGTGGTGCAGCCATTACTGTCTCCATTTTGCAGATGAAGAGAAGATGACTGCCCAAGGTTGCAGAGCAGCTAAGTAATGTTACTGGAACTACAATTCTAAGTGACAAGTTATTTGTCCACTTCTGGCTCACTCCAGCAGACTGAGAATAGAAACACTTGGGTTCCAATCCACCAACTTACTGTGTGACCCTGAGTGCCCTTCTTGTCCCTGGATTGCAAACTTCTCCAGGTCAAAGGACAGGGTTGGCCTAGATCAGCTGTCAAATTCATGAGCCAAACAGCCTCCAAGCCCCCAAAACTCCCAAGTGAACCAGACGAAAATGCAATTGGGAATGTGGACAAAAACATGAGACAACACCGATTATTTTGGGAAAGCACTGGGTGAATGTGATTTGATGCACTGAGTATGGCACCTAACCAAATGCTTCATACAAACCTTTACTCATTGATTAAAGGGCATGTGAGATGGGTTGTGGGGGAAATTTTAGAGGAGCATCCAATACACAAGAGAGAGCCCCTCACCATTTAGACCCCGGAGTGTCAAGTTACCGTATACTCTCCCTCTCTGCCACAATCTTGTCTCGCTCCTGGAAGGCCCAATCTCGCCTACATTTTGCCACTTCTGCCTCTTGGATGGCTTCTTTGAGCTCCTGGGACATGGCCTCGTACTGCTTCCGGAGCATTTCGATCTCTTTGTTGGCTCTCTCAATGTCCAGGGTTGCTGAATCCTGTATCTATGAGGTCAGACAGAGAGAAGAGGTTTATGGATACATCTCAGCATGGCAGTTTTAAGTTCCTCTCTCTTGGACCCCAGAGGTATAACTAAGGCTCTCTGCATCCACTCAAAGACAGAACAGCAAGACTGTGACCAATCCCCACCACATTCCACCCTAACCCAACTTGCCCCTTCTGTTCCAATGCTATGTATCCATCTATCATGGTTTAAAGTCTGATAGAATGGGGCCTGACAATGACTCTGTTCCCAACCTGGGCAGACCCCCCAGATGTCTATAGGGACCCTCCTTCAGCAGAAACGTCTACCTACCCCTGAAGCCTGTTGGCTCCCCAAGAATTCTATCTTGTACTCAATTTTACCACAGAATCACAAATCTGAAAGGAAACTCAGCTGCCCCCTAAGCCAACCCACACCCAAAAGGAATTCCTACTCCCACTGTAACACACAAGTCAAACAGGTGTGCAGTCTCCACTCAGAGACTTCTAGGAAGGGGAACCCAGTACCTCCTGAGGCATTCTACTCTACTCTTCAACATCAGTGATTACGAATTAGTTTGTTATTGTTGTTGTTTTCTACTATCAAGCCTAATTTTGCCTCTGATACGTCTACCCTCAGCCCTGGTTCTGGTCTCTGGGGCCAAACAGACCAAATCCATTCTTTTCCACATGACAGCCCTTCAGACACATGAACACAGAAATCATGTCTCCCCTGAACCTTCTCTTCTATAGCCTAAATTTCTCCATTTCCTTCAGCCAGTCCTTATATAACATGGACTCAAGATTATCCGGCAGTAGCAACAACAAACACTTATTAGGTGCTTACTACGTGCCAAGTACCATGCGTTATCCCAGATGCCCTCTTCTGAGCGCTGCCCAGTTTAATCAGTGTCCTTTTCAAACTGTGGTGCCCAGAACCAAACATAATATTCCAGGTACAGTCTGAAGAGTGCAGAGTACAAAGGGGCTATTGCCTCCTTATTCCTGGAAGGGAAGCCTTTTTTTAGTCAGCCCAAGATTACAACAGCTTTTTTGGCCCCTATGTCACACAGCTGAATTATATACTAAAACCGTCCTCATCTTTTTCAGACAGACTGCTGTCTAATCTATGCCTTCTACATCCTATACTTGGCAAGTTGATTTTTTGAACCCAAGTGAAAGACTTTACATTTATCACTAATGAATTTCATCTGATTGGAATTGGCCCAATGTTCTAGCCTGTCAAGATCCTTTTGAATCCTGTCTCTATTACCTAAGTTGTTAGCTAGCCCCCTCAGTTTTGGTTTATTGTGTCATGATTTTACTACAAATGTGGCACTGGCCACATACATAAACCGCCAGCCCCTGAGGGAAGGGGAAGCAATAAGGTAATCTAGAAGGTGTTTCAGCACATCATATCCTAGCTACTGGGATCTGGTTAGGCTTGCCAATGTATACATGGGGGGAAACGCCCAATCCAAGTAAGCTCAGGCACCAGAGAAGACAAGGAATGAACGATGGAAAAATCAAAAGTAAGAGCATCCACTCCAGCAACATATTATTTTTTGTTTTGTTTGTTTCCCTGGCTTCCTTCAAGACTCAGCCCCTTCCCAATCTTCCCTCCTTCCCCTCTTCCCAGCTGCTTTGCCTTTATGCAAAAATCACCTTCCATCTCTCTGTCTGTATTTCATATGTACCTGGTTATTTTCATGCTTGTCTCTCCCGTTAGAATATGAGCTCCTTGAGGGCAGGGCCATTTTTACCCTTTTATGCATCTCCACTGTTTAGCAAAGGACTTGGCACATAGCAATCACTCAGTAAATGCTTCCTGACTGACTGACTGTTGCCTACAAGGTCACTTTTCAAAAACTGGATATCTCTTGTGAAGCAAGAAGAGAAACTCTTGGTGGTACCATAATGGCTATCTTTCACCATTCAGTTTTATAACAGAAAGGTTATTGGGTTAAAAAGTTCTCCCCCTTAAAATCTCTAAAACTCCTGACCTTGGGAATTTTAAAATCAGTTTATGACACAAAAGCCACACAATTCAAATTAACTAGGGAAAAATAAGGTGTGTAACTCCCACCCCCTCACAAATTCTAGTTCTAACTGGACTCAATGACCTCTAAGGTTCCTTCCGATTCTAAATATGATTATAATATTCTATTAATTTCACTTTGCACAAGTCAACAAAGCCAATTTTTAATTTCAGTGTTAAAATAAACTACTCATCTGCCTTAATTCTATGATAAAGCCTGGACTTGTCCCCACTAAACTCTGGAAACTCATGCCTCAGGGTGACAAAGGAATAGCTAGGATTATCTCAAAGGATCATAGATCCTTCACATCCATAAACCAGGAGGCATGTCAAAAGCACTCATCTTCCACATTAGCTAGCTGATCTTATGGAAGGCAGCCTGGAGTTCTCTGAAAGTGCTGAAAACCCGACCCAGGCAAACGAACACCATACCCTATAGCCAGGAAGGCTATAGGCGTTGAACCTCCTCCAAGTCACACAACAGCGTGAAAATGAAAGATTTGCCATCTGTCTATTTGTGCTTCCAACTCCCCCCAGTCGCCCAGTTACCCAGAGAGAACAAAGGGAAGAAACGTTCTCTCTCACTACGCTTCTGAAAGACCTGCGGGAGATTTTCCAATCAACCAATGAAATATTTATTCAAACATCTGACTGATAGCAAAAGCAATTTCCTGTAGAAGCGGAATGGGTTAGCATACTTTTCTCCCCACCCCTATTCCCTGATGTTCTTTCTGGTAACTGAGAATCAGAAATTGGAAATACAAATTCGGTTTGTTCCCCAAAGGCAAGATTTGACATATACAGAGTTTCCTCTTTCACCCCAAACCTCCTTTTTCTCCCCAGAGTAGCAAAGCAGACACCAAAAGACAGTCTTCACAGCCTACACAGAATTCCACCAACAGCACAGGGACTCCAGAGACCCTGGCCCTGAAGCACAAAAAGCACATGGCATAAAACGTGGAGCGAGACCACATTCAACAGAGGCAGAGCCTTGGAGCATTAAGCAAAGTGTGGGGGAACAAAGAAGGAGGCTTCCTGCCTGACCGACCTCAGCAGACTCGGGTGCTAATCCAACCCAAGGGGGAGCTTCTGAAGCTCAGCTCTTCACTGGCAAAGAGAATACCTTATTTTTCTTCTTGTACTTCCCCCCCCTCCCCGACACTCTCAAACACAGAATAAGATAGCACAAGACTCTACTAGAGTCAGCCCAGTGGCTGTAGACTAAGACCTTCCTAATAACATGGTCACTGCCATTTTGCGGGAGAGGGATGCAAGGACGTAAAATTAATTGACCGCCCCACCCAAAAGGCCTATCTATCTTAAAAAAGATGCCCAAATTACTATAATTACTTTATTGGGAAGAGAGGAGGAACTGGGGAACTGGAAAAGGGGTTGTAGAACTTCAGAGCTTAGAGGAACCTCAATCCAATCTCTTCCATTATTTTTGCTTGGTTTCTTTGGTGAGGCAATTGGGATTAAGTGCAACCTCTACCATTTTACAGATGAGTAAACTGAGGCTTAGAGGGTAAAAACCCAAAGTAACATTAACCAGTCAGTGGCAAAGTCAGGACCAGGACCCTGGTCTCTTAACTCCTCAATCCAGGCGTACTTTCTACGATACCACACAATCCACTCACGGTTGGGTTGCATTTTAAAGACATTGCCACAGTCCTCTGATTGATCTCTCCATGTTGTCTCTCCCCCCTCCAAAGTATCCTCTACTCAGCTGCCAAAGCAGTTTTCCTAGAGTACAGATCTGACCATGTCATCTTCACGCTCCAACTCTAGAGGCTCCCTATTACCTCCACGACAATCACTGGCTTTGAAAGTCCTTCCTAACTTTCCCCTGGCTGTCTCCATGCTTACAATGCTCTCCATGCTTACCTACCACTGGAAGGAAGGAGAGTCTGCTCAAAGCCTACTTTCCGCAGGAGGCCTTTCCCGATCCCTCTCCTTGCTAGCATCTTCCCCTCCAAGACTGCCTTCCACTTACACTGTACGTGCATGTGTGTCCTCAACTCACATGAGTGTAATTACTTGGATGTTGTCTCCTCCACTGTCCCTTGAGGGCAAGGACTGAGATTCTAACTTCCTACATTCAGCACCGAGCACATCTGCCATACAACAAACACTTAATAAATGTCCGTTGACTGATTATTCTAATCTAGGAAAGCCAATTACTAAAGGTCATCAATTGCCCAATGATGATCCATCTATCCCCTTTGCCTCCCTCATTGGGCTAATGTGGGTGGTCTCTGTGACACAGGTGTGTAAAGCTGAGCAGGCTTTCCAAAGGAACCTTGCCCCCTCCCCCCCCAACTCAGGCATGGGCACACCCCCAAATTCCCAAGCGTGTTTCTGGCTCCCGACAGGAGTGTGATCCACTCCCCAGGCTACCTAAGGGAAGGTGGGGGTTGGGGAGGAATTTACCTACGGGAGGTGGTCAGTACCTGGCGAGCTTGGTAATATTCCCTGAGTAGATGGTCTCTCTGGATGATAGCTTCTGTCCTCTCCTTCCTGGCCACATCTCTTTCTTCCTTCACTGCCTCTATATCTTTGCAAGCTTGGTCAAGCTCTTTTTGAGCTTCCGCCTTGTCCTTCACCTCGTAGCAGTATTTTTCCAGTAACTCATTCCTCTCACAGACTGCCCGATCTCTTTCCACCAGAGCTGAGTTCAGCTCCTAAAACAAGAGCCCATCGTTGGCACACATATCACATCGAAGAGAGAGAACAAAAGCAAAGTTGTCACCTTCCCTCTGGCCAAGGGCACACAAGAGGTGCTTTCTGTGTGGGGATTTCACATTCTACCAAGAAGGCCATTACAAGCCCCAAGGCTCTGCTCAGGAACCAAGGCAGAAAGCTGGTACCAAAGAACCAAAGGTAGGTAAGGTCTAGCCTCAGGCATCAACTCTCAGTCAAGGTGATCCAGCAGGGCCTGAGCGCCTGGCAATGGACAATACTGCTGAGGCCAAAGAGGAAAGCCAGGACAAGTGTTAAAATGTCCTATTTTATGGGAAAAATCACATGTGTTGGTCCTTAAAAGTCTTATAGTTCTCTTTTTCAGAGCACAGGCTGAAACTCAGGCATTTCTGCCCTTAAGAAAGTATGTGCCAACACTGTTCTGGAATCAATTTCCCAGCTAAATGAAGGGGCTGGTGAAATGTGGGAGGGGGGTCAGAAACCTGAGGGGGTTGTTTCCAGTAAGTACAGGCAGATGCTGGCATGGTGCCCTTCCATGTTCTCGGAGAGGTGGCATTCAGGCTGCCTCTCTGAGTAAGTGCAGTGAGCCAGGACAGGACCCAGTCAGCTGATGGGTTAGACTCAGACTGTGACCCTCCTCTGCAGAGAACTCTGGAACACGTGGCTGGAGGTCATCATCCTGACCCTAACGCTCAGTTCCAGAGAAAGAAGATATTACAGAAGCCCCAGCTATGGAAGCAGGGTGTCTAGGGAAGGTGCAGGGTTGGAATGAAGGGCGCTACATGAAAATTCTCAGCTGGATGGAAGACTGTTCAATCCAGGAGGGTTCCCTATTGGCCACTCCCCTGCCAGGTGGACTAGGCCAGGAGAAGAAAGAAAGGGGGAATGGGGTAGAGAAACAAGGGGACAGAAAAAGAGAGAAAGATTACAGAGACTGTTCTTTGACTTCTCACAGACCAATATTTACAGCCTGAAGGACTGAGATAGATGGGAGAACATGTTTTATTTTCATCAGAGATAAAAAGTGTTTACACAAAAGCTTCTGTGATGCCAGCCTTCCAAGAGTCCCTAGGGAACCCAGGATGATTTTCTTCCACTTGGGGGGGAGGGGGAGAACATAACCTCCAGTCTGATAAGTCAGGTGTCCATTTAGAGCCATTCAGCACAGGGAGAAAAGTGCTTTGTCAGTAAAATGCCAACCAAGTGTCCACGAGGGATGTAAGATGAAAACAACCCTTTCCTAAGGCCATAAAAGTCTTGTACACAGCTCTAGGCCAGCAGATAGGCAGGCAGCTTTGGGGTCAGAGCTAGAGAGAATAACACTCATCCCCCTTCTAGGCTCATTGGTCTCCTGATGACAGTAAAGATCTGCTTCCAAGAGGCATGAATTAAGGTTAGGAAAAGGAGCTGCTGATTGCTCCAATAGCCTCCAAGGGCATTTTGTGAAGCCCAGCTGTGACCTTGGCATAGCTCTCTTAACAGAGGGGAAACTGGAGGGGAATAAAAGGCAACTATCTTATCCCCTCCCTGAGAGGTAGATTTTGAGGAAAGAGAAATCAGACGCAAGAAAGAGAATTTTTCCTCATTCTGATGAGACTAAAGGAGCTATTAACCTGGAATCCAAGGTGCTAGCTAAGCATAAAAATGGTTTGATTTTGAGTAAGGTCAAGCTACAAAAACTTATGCTTCTCATTCTAACTCCTGCCCCTTATCACCTAATAACACGGTCAAATAAAACCATGAGGCAGATGACCGGAGGCGGAGACAGAGCTGTGCACGTCCCTATGCTGCTAAAAGGCACAGCTTCCAGAAATCACACCCAGACACCACCCCCTCTACACATGTCACCCAAGGCTGGGGAGAATCTGCCCTCACCTTAAACTCGCATGCAGAGTTCTTCCTTAATGGGTAAATCCATTCCCCTGGTGTACCTTTCAGAGACTATGATGGAAACCTAACTATTTATTAGGAAATCCCCATGGCGGCCATCTATGTATCAATGATTTACCATATGGGATGAACACCTGGTTTGATGTTGGTTTCACCTCATGCAATTCACTACATGGAAGCCTGAACTCCATACCACCCACCCCCCCTACCCACGACCCACCACCAGAGACACACATACACACACACAGACTGGCAAAAGAGTAGAGACACATGGGCACAGAACAGTTAGGACAAGAAAAAAGAACAACGTGCCACTCACTGGAGAATACCAAAAGACCATGAAAAGGCCAAGCACTTAAGGCAATGTGGGACACAGCAGATTTATGCATGGTAGGTCAAAGTCACTTCTGCACTTCATGGCAGATAGCCAGAATAGGGAGGCTGGCCAATGGCAGACTAATAAGTCAACCTCTATAGGCAAAGATGTACCATATAACCATCCTTCCATCCCCTTTCCTCCTGCTTCTTCTCTCATCAGTATCAAACATTTCTACAGAGAAAAGAACTTGGATGGTACAGCCTCAGTTGGAAAAAGCCTAAACCTGCTTCAGGGAATGGAGAAAGAAGACAGAATCTATGCCCAGAGACCTGATGCTCGATGTGGTGGTTACTATGGGCAACCATGGGGTACACCCAGGTTACCCTGGCCTTCAAGGCTCTACACTCCAGGGATAAGAGTTAACTTCCAAGTTTAATGCTCCTCTTACCTCCTCCTTTACCACTTTAGCAGGACTTAAGAGGAGCAGGTTGAGGGCAGGGCAATATTCATGGAATATGGACTTCAAAATATCATCTGAATTCATCCTGGCATAAAACCCTTCATGCAATAGTATGCCTGGACGTTCCCAACTATACTTTATACTGTGAGGCTCTTGAGAATGAAAATAATGACAACTGACATATATAATGGGGCACTGAAGTTTACAGAACACTGGGTGAGTCATCTCTTTTAACATTTCCAACAACCTGGTCAGGCAAATGCTCCAAGTAATATCATGCCCATTTTATATATGAGAAAACTGAGGCTCAGAGGTGAAGGAACCTACTCATGATTACACAACTAACTACATATAAGAAGGAATTTGAACCCAGGTCTCCTTGACTCCCCAGTCCAACACTCTTTCCACTACTATGGCCTTCTGCCTCTGATCTCATGAGTTCTCACTCTCTTCCCCTATTCCTTGAGCACCACCCTCACCCCCGAACTCCCAGTTCATAGGCAGCAAAGGTACAGTGGATAGAAGGCAGAATCAAGAGTCAAGAAGACCTGAAATCCAGCCTCAGACACTCAGTAGCTGTGTGACCCTGGCCAAAGCACTTAACCTCTGTCTGCCTTCAGTTTCCTCATCTATAAAAGGGGTGTAATGGTAACATCTATATCCCAAGGTTCTTGTGAGGATCTCATGAGATATTTGTAAAACTTGAAAGTGCTATCATCATCATCATCATCATCATCATCATCATCATCATCATCAGATAGAACCGAACAAAATGGCTGTGATAAACATCTGCTGAAAAAACTCAAAGAATTTAAACCCCGAGTCACATTAACTAAAGCAGCCTCCAAGACCTTCCTTCCAAAGCCCACATCCACTTGGGTCTGCCTTTTGTGCCAGCTTCCCTCCTGCAGAGGCTGGCAGGCAGCCCGTGCCACCCGGGGGGGGGGGGAAGCTCACGTCTACCTGTCTCAGAGCCTCCACCTCTTCACTGGCCACCCGCTTCTCTGAGGTGGTGTTCTTCAGTTTGGATTCTGCCAGCTCCAGCTCTGTCTGAAGTTTGTCCAGCTCCTTGATGACCTGGTCCCGCTCACTCATGATGAGCTGATACTCATTAAAGACGGAGTCCCGCTCCTCCTTGTACTTCTCCGCATCCTTCAGGGCCTTCAGCTGCATGGCCCTCAACCGTGTCACCTCCGACTGGAGGCGCTCCATTTCCCGCTGGAGCTCCTTGTTCTGGACCGTTGCCTTGCTGAGGTCCTGCTGCATTGACTCAAACCTACAGGAAAAAAAGCAAGGAAGGCAATGAATGGGGCCGAGCCCAAAGAGAGATAGCCAATTTGGTCCTTCATCCCACTGTCTCTTATTTTGTTAATCCCACCAAAGCCACTGAAGAACCAAGCATGAAGTTTCAAGTGAAATTCCCCTATTCCCCAACCAGAGGTCACAGAGCATCAATGCCCCTGAAACAAATTTTTCTCAGTCCCCTGCCAATCCCAGGAGACAACTGAAAGCTGCACCCCCTCTTCTAATCTAGAACTGAGTTCCAGGCCTTTTTTTTCTCCCTACCCACCCACCCAGATGACAGAATTTCAGAGCAAGAAGGAAATTCAGAATCATTTAATACAACCTCTTCATTTTGCAAACAAGGGAAATGAAGCCCAAAGTCAGAAAAATGACCTGCCCAGGGTCACACCACCCATTCTCAATTCAACCTGAGCTCCCATTCAGACAGCTCCATCTGTTCCTCCCCTAGATAGATCAGTCCAGAAGGCTCTAGAAGTGATGAAGACTTAAATATTTATCTAGCACTTCCAGTTTTACAAAGCATTTTTTATCACAACAATTCAGTATGGCAGAGAGAGTGAGAATCTTGACTCTCATTTGACAGAGGGAATGGTGGCTCAGAAAAGCTACATTCATTGTTCAAAGTCACACAGAAAGTAAGTGGCCACGCTGGGCCTGGAGCCCAAACTTTTACACTCTGAGATCAGGGCTCTTTCCTTTATTTCATGCTCTCTTATCACTCTGAAATGTCTAAATACACATCGGCAGGTTGTATTTACAACCAGGGTTGTAAGGTACAGAGCCATGGTGGCCTTTCCATCACAAGTCTAACACTTTGGTTTTAAAATAGAAGTTTCTAGAGAAAAAAGACTATATCTTTTACCAGCATGGATAATACTCAACATAGTACCTTGGGAGCAGCTAAGAGACAGTTACAAAGAGAATAATTTGGGAATATATAATTGGCTTTTTAAAGAAAGCCATTCTTAAAACAAGGAGTTCACTCACATGCTGAGTAGGATCAGAGATGTGCAGGAAACTCCCAGTTACAAACTCCCTCTCTCTCCTAATGAAAATAAGCATCTTTTCTGCAAACTGAAGTCTTAGAGAGTTGCCTGGGGCAATTAGGGATTAAATGACTTGACCAGGGTCCCACTGCTAGGAAACGTCTGAGGCTACATTTGAACTCAGGGCCCTCTGACTCCAGGCCTGGCACCGTATCTACTGCACATCTTTGATCCCTCTTCTCTGCACTGCCCCCCCCTTCCTCCTGCCCTCATAATCCATGAAACAAACATGTGAAATGCCATGAAAAATGCTTTTTTATCTACTGCTGGTTTGTTAGAGATCATTCATGCGTCCCCATATAATAACCACTATAGGTTTCTCAAAGGACATATTACTACTTTTTAATTACAATATGAATAGGATTCTAATTGGACACATTTTTTTCCTTCAGTTTCATTTAAAGAGCCACAAAGGACATAAGTGCCCACGTGACACGTGGTTGTGGATTTGTCACCCCTTCAATAGAACCTGAGCAGGCAGCATGGTATTGTGGATAGAGCAGTGACCTCGGTTCAAATCCTGCCTCAGACACTTAACTAGTTGTATAAAAGTGAATATGTCACTTAACCACTGAGGGCCTCAGTTTCTTCATAAAAAGGACACTGGATTCAGTGGCCTCTAAGATGCCTTTCAGCTCTACAGATACCAAGACAGCTCTCACACGGACCAGGGCATCTCCCAATTGCCTCCACTGACTCTCAGGTCAACTGGAAAGAACCCTGGGTCAGGAATCTAGTTCCCACTCCCGTACTCATCAGCTATGTCATCTTGAGCAAGACTCTTCAAGTCTCTAAGCTTTATTTTCCCAATCCCTTCCCTCCTGGTCCCTTCTTCTTAAGGATGGTGTGAGGATGAAATGGGATCACATTCCTATTGAGTTCAGGGGAAGTGGGGTGGGAGCCAGGACCAGCCTTGTAAATCAGTAATCCCATGCCTGCGCCAGTCTATGGCACCCAGCCAGGTCATCCCAACTGGACTCTCCCAAGCCAGAGCCCCGTTTCCCCTGAATCCCTTCTCCCAAGCCATGAGGCCCTCCTGCCACCTCCTGGCTCCTACCGCCTTAGGGATAAGGAGTACTGTTGCTGGAAGTGGATTGACGTGTCCCTCTGTTTCACCAGCGTGTCTGTCTGTTTCTGCAGGCGCCTGTTCTCCTCTTCCATCTGCTCCAGCCGACTCAGGTCCGTGTTGTGGTTTGCAACCTTCTCGTTGTACCGCTTTCTCAATCCATCATAGTCCTTCTTCAGCCCTTCCAGCTTCCCCATGGCGGTGTCATACAGTGTGTTAAGGATCTCCGATGACCCATTCTCCTTCAAAACCTAAAAATAAAAGTGACTCATTTCCCAAGGGCTCTGGGACGAAAAGGGAAAGGCTTACTACCTCTCTTCTAGGTGAGAGACAGAAATGCTTGCAAGATGGAGACTCCCCTGCACTCAAAATGGGGAAAGTCTAATTCAATAGAAACCTCAACTTGGCATTAAAGAGGGTAACCAGTGCTTCTGGTAGGCAGAAAAATAAAGAATTTGAGACCACTTTGAACCTCCACTTTCTCACCTATAAGATGAGGGGAGTGGCCTAGATCTCTAAAGTACCACCATCCAGCTAAATCTATAAGAGGCCCTTGGGTTATTTATACATTATTACATCCCATGAAATCATCACAATGATAAAGGTAACTCACTGAGATCTTCTTGAAGAATACTTCAACCTCACTAATCTTAAAATAACTAGTAGGAAGACCAGGGCATGAATTTTTTTAAGTATAAATTGTAGAATTTTTAAACCCTATTATTACTTCCAAGTACACAAGATATGAAACAGCTTAAGTACCCAAAATCATCAAAGAAGGAGGAAAGGAAGCAGTATGGCGCAGTGGTGGAAATTCAAGTGAAGAAAACCTGGATTCGAATTGTGGCTTCCTCTGCTTTGCAATGTACCATGCCTGGAATCCACTGCCTCCTCACCTTCATCTCAGAAAATCCCCTTCTTTCGTCAAGTTGCAAGTCAGGCACTACCTTCTAATGCAAGCCTTTTCCTGATTCCCCCAAAGGCTAGTTTAGCCTTCCCTCCCCAACTACCTCACCTACCTAACTACAGTATTTCACTAATTTCTATGTATTTGCATTTATTCCCTTTAGATTTAGTCTGTCCACACACACAGTATACTTTTCTCTCCTTGTCAGAATAGAAGCTCCTTAAAAATAAGAATGATTTTATCCTTCGCATATGTATCTCCAAGGACTCACATAGTGTTTGGTACATAGCAGGTATTTAATAATAACTGCTTGTTTGATTTATTGGGATATGCGTGTGTGTGTGTGTGTGTGTATGTATACACACACACACAAGCTATATGTAAATATATAGCTTAATAGCTAGCAACCACACAACAATCCAGGGAGGTACGTGCTATTATTATCTTCATTATAAGGAAACTGAGGCAGACAGAGATTAAGTGTCTAGCCCACAGTCACACGGCTAGAAAGTGTCTGGGGCAAAATTTGAACTCAGGTCTTCATAATTCCCAGTCTAGCACTCTAGCCATTGTACCTGCCTCTACTTACTTCACAAGATTTTTGGAAGCATCAAATAATATATGTAAAAGACTGTGCAAATCATAAAGTCCTGTATAAACAAGTTATCACACATAGGTGGATTCCCCAAATAATTAAAGCTTAGACCTCTAAGTCCCAAAACATTTTAACAAATCTGGACAGAATCTATCTAAAATGTATCACAGAATTCCCTGCCTTCTTAAGCAGAGTATGGAGAATGTGATTTTAACTTTTTCTGAAGGAATCTACTATAAACAGCAGAATTACTGAAGGGCTAAGTATTACAGCCCAGTAATTCTTCATTGCTCTTGTGGTATGTGGGACTTTTGTCCCCATGATAAATGACATGACCCCTTGCTGCTGAGGCTTTCGAGTCAGATCTCATTTTTATAGGCTTCTGTCTCTTCCACCACTGTCAAGCTGCCAGCTGTTAATTCTCAACCTTGTTGATGTATCTACCCCACCAGCCCCTCTCCTTACTTCTAATCACTGTGGGCTGCAAAGACAGATAACCAAGCTAATTCTATGTATAAACCAGGAATCACTTGGGCTCCAAGCTATCCCCAAAGGCTGTCTTATGATTCAGAAGCTTGAATTTAACGTATGGATACTGTAACATTTTGGCTACTAAAGAGGCTTTTGTTCCCCCCCCCCTTTTAGAGACAGATAGGTGGCACCATAGTACACAGAGTGCCAGATTGTAATCAGGAATTCATATTCAGCCTTAGACACTTACTACACACTTACTAGACCCAACCTCTGTCTGCCTCAGTTTTCTCAAATATAAAACCAGAATAATAACAGAATCTACCTCCCTGGGTTGTTGTGAGGATCAAATGAGAAATTAATTCTAAAGCACCTAGCCCAGTGCCTGGCACATAGTAAGTTCTATATGTTGGCTATTATTAGCTATCATTATTATTATTCTGAAGCCTAGGCTATGGCCATTACAATACCCTGCCTCGGTCTGTAAACTTTTCTACATCTACACTTGATTCCCTTTTCTCATGAGAGATGAGAGGCAGCATCACAGAACAAGACGAAGACTTGGAGTCAGAGGACCTGAGTTCAAGATTTGGTGCTAGAAGAGCTACATTCAAATATCAGCTCAGCTGATAACTGAGGGATCTTAGAGAGGTCACCTCTCAACGCCCTGGACCTCTCAGTTCTCTCATCTGTGAAAGTAAATGGGTGGGTTAGATGAGTATGCCACCTCCATTCCAGACTCCTCCAACTCCCTCTCCCCATCCCACCAGAATTCAGATTCTCATCCTGGACTCTCATTGGTGAGCTTTCACCTTATTGTCCTTAGCCTAAGACCCACCATGTGACTGACCATGCACATCTCCTCTGCCACGGCCCCTCTCCCGAGCCTTACTCCCCTACACGTTGTCCTTCCCTATTAGAATATAAGCTCTTTAAAGGCAGAAACTGTGCTGCTTGCTTATGTGTGTATCCTGAATCCTGACACAAAGCGAGATGCCGTTTTGTTTCATTCCATCTCTAAAGCTATGAAAATTCACAGGGGAAGAAGTTTTTTTAATAGTTTATTAAATGAGAATTCCTTATACCATGTTTGAATTAATCCTGCAAATCCCAAATCCTTGCAGTTTTAATCAACAATGCTTTATGACACCAGAGAGAAAAGCAGCTACTGTCATTCCAGTGGTGCCCACAAGGTGGCAGCTGTGGGTAGGACCATGTGAGAATCTTCTAGTACTCAGATATCCCCATATCCAAACAGAAAAAAATTTTTAAATACTTACTGAGAAATTATAAGCTAATAAAATTGGTGCTGCAAGGATTGTAGAGGTCATCTAAAGTCAAAGCTCTTCATGTTGCAGATAAGGAAACTGAAGTCAAGAGCCACGAACTGCAATAGCCTAGAACAGTACTAAATATGGGGTCAATGGCCATAAGTTTGAAGCCTGGCTATGCTTATTTACTTGTGGGCAAGTATCTTCACATCCTTATCGGAAAAAATGATGGTGCTGGCCTAGAGCCAGGTTTCCATTTATGTCTCTATGGGTGTGATCTGAAGTGATTTGCCCTATTTTTCACAGGTATTAACTGGCAGAGACAAAATTCAAACCCAAACCCTTGGACTCTAGACCCAGAATTTGTTCCATTTCACAAGTTATAGTTTAGGGGCAGCTAGGTGGCACAGTAGATAGAGTACTGGCCCTGGAGTCAGGAGGATCTGAGTTCAAATCGGGCTTCAGACACTTGACACTTACTAGCTGTGTGACCCTGGGCAAGTCACTTAACCCCATTGCCTAACAAAAGGACCAAATATTTATTTATGTATACACACACACACACACACACACACACATATAAATAAATATAACAAGTTATAGTTTAAAAGAGGAAGGCTCATATCCTCAATTTCAGCCCCAGGAGTTCAATTTTCCAAAGCAAATAACATTCTCAGAGTAGAAAGGAGATTCCCTGGGAGCACAGGTTGAAGTCTACTCAAGGAATCCTAGGACCAAAAGAGATCTGAATTTTCTCCCCCTTAATATGGAAAGGGAAATACAACACCCACCAACAACGAATGCCTGCTTGTTAATAAACCTGGCTACCCTGAGGTGTCAAGAACAGTCCAGGATGCAATAAACAGCCCAGACAGTAGACCAACCAAATCTTGGTGACAAAGAACAGGTTGGACTGAAAGGGAGACACTGAACAAACTCCCAGAAGGGCCCTCTGCTTCAGTGGGGTTACCTAGCCTAGCTTTATCAGCAAATAAGCCAAGAACTAACTATATAATAAGCCAGTGGTTAAGTTCAAAGTGGTATCTGAAAAGGAATTTAAGTTTGGCCTGCCTCCATGGTCCAAAGGGAATAGTCATCCTAGGAGAAGAGGACTTTCTAAGAAATGAGATCCACCGCCCCCCCCCCCGTATTTAGCTGCCACAAAAGCTACAACCTCTTATGAGTCAAGAAGAAAGCCCCAAGCTAAGGAAAGGAAACCTCAGTCACCGTTTGAGAATTCATCTACCTTGTCATTGACCTAAATGAGGTGAAAAGGAAATCTGAGATGGAGCTGGTACTTCCTTTTCCCCACTCCCAGTGAATTCAATTTCGTTCAATTCAACAAGCACTGATTAGACACCTACTATGTGCCAAGCCTAACTGTGGTGGGCACTCAAAGAAACAGTTCTCACCCTCAATAAGCTTGGATTCTAGAGGACTGGTCCCCTGTGAGATAAACAGAAACATCAGTTCTGGCATCAAAGGAGCCAGTTTCAAATCCCACAAAGGCAAGGACGGTAAAGTTGTTTAGATGCTAGGAGATCTGTCACTATAATGTCAGGTCACTGGAGGATTTCTCCCCTGTGTATCTCTGGAAATCCAAGGCTAGCTCCAGGTCTCACAAGAATGACTCCAACAAAATCCACCAAGGAGGAGACAGAAATCACCCCTGACATCCTCATAAGATGGAACAGCTTAGCTGAAAATCTGGGAAGCTGGATGGGTCACCGGTTTGGCTTTTCAGACATGAAATCAAATCCCTTCAACCGTCACACCCACAGCAGCGACATTTCCTCTAAACCATAAATCATCCAGCCGGCAGGAGAGATGGGTAAATCCCTCCTGCAAACACACAAGGCAAACAGCCCCTTTTGGCCAGCCAGGGCCTCTTGGAGTTTACAAGCCATGGGAGGATCCAGGCAACAAAACCACCCTTGTGGAACCAGGCTGACCTTTCCCCTGTGGCCCTTGTCAGGGAACCAGCCTGGCCAAGGTTCTTGGAGGAGG